TATACCCCCGCACAACAAAGTTGTAAGGGGGGTATACTGGAATCAGATTGTCCGTCCGGCCGGCCGGCCGTCTGGCCGTCCGGCGTCCGTCGGTTTTTTCTTGTCCGCCCAATAACTAAAGATTCCTTTGACCCACAGTCTTCATATTTGGCATGGAGATTAGTCGTGATTAGTAGATGACCCCTATTGATTTTGAGGTCACCAGGTCAAAGGTCAAGGTCACAGGGGCTTTGACTTCAAAAAGCTTGTCCGCCCAATAACTTAAGATTCCTTTGACCCACAGTCTTCATATTTGGCATGGAGGTTAGTCATGATAAGTAGATGACCCCTATTGATTTTGAGGTCAAAGGTCAAGGTCACAGGGGCCTTGACTTCAAAAAGCTTGTCCGCCCAATAACTTAAGATTCCTTTGACCCACAGTCTTCATATTTGGCATGGAGGTTAGTCATGATTAGTAGATGACCCCTATTGATTTTGAGGTCACCAGGTCAAAGGTCAAGGTCACAGGGGCCTTGACTTCAAAAAGCTTGTCCGCCCAATAACTTAATGTTCCTATGACCCACAGTCTTCATATTTGGCATGGAGGTTAGTCATGATTAGTTAATGATCCGTATTGATTTTGAGGTCACTGGGTCAAAGGTCAAGGTCACAGGGACCTTCTCAAAATAAAGCTTTTCCCCTCAATTGCTTCAGAATGCCTGTCCAGAGTGTATTGATTTTGACAATTTCACATTTGAAGCATGTAGAATACATAACTTAGCAATGCACTGGCTTAGTAACCTCAGATTTGGCAGGGAGGTTGTCCTTGAGTTCTAAATGGCCACTGTTGATTCTGACAAAGTGGTATGCGGGGGTATTCACGCCATGATAGTGGCAGTTCTAGTTTTTACTGATTTTGCCGCGTAACGTCGTGCATTCTACTTAATGACGCCATCACATCATGACGTCACATCATCAATTTTGAAATATAGTTCTGTTAAACTTTCACTGATTTTGTTGCATTGTTAATATGATGTATGACAATTTCCTCTTTCTTTTTCTAAAGAAGCAATATTTACGTTTGACGGCATTTATTTTTACCTGCTATTCCATTTAGTTATGATATTCTTTTCATCCGCAGTCACATATAGTCCGGCTACAGTGAAATTATATTTTATAAATTTCACTAGTGGTTTATCAGAATATAATCATCTGATATATTACAGTAAAACACTGGAAAGCATGAAATAAAAAGTCCTACATAGGAGTTTAAAAGTCCTACGTAGGACTTATAAACTCCTAATTAGGCTTTCTATCTCCTACGTAGGAGCTATAAAGTCCAACGTAGGAGTTATAAAGTCCTACGTAGGACTTATAAAGTCCTACGTAGGAGATATAAAGTCCTACGTAGGAGTTTCAAAGTCCTACGTAGGAGTTATAAACTCCTAATTAGGCTTTTTTTATCTCCTACGTAGGAGTTATAAAGTCCTACGTACGGCGTAGGAGTTACAAAGTCCTACGTCGGAGTTATAAAGTCCTACATATGAGTTATAAAGTCTTACGTAGGAGTTACAAACTCCTAATTAGGTTTTTTTTTTTTATCTCGTACGTATTTTGTTATAGAACATTATGAATTGGCACCAGGACGCTTCCGTAGACATATTAAGTGACTATCAAAGATCTTTATTATTTCTTTCATTATTATTATCATCATTATTATTATTATTATTATTATTATTATTATTAGCATGATGATGATGTCGATGTAGCACATGAAAAAATAATTTGTTTATCAGCTGAGATTTCCTTACTATATATACTTATATAAAGCCTCGGTCTCACTTACTCCCGGCAGAGCCCAGGACCATCCCGGTAAGTTACCGGGATGATCCGGGACGATCCGGGATGAAATTATTGTTGCGGTCACACTTACCCCGGCAGCACTACGGTAGTTCCCTACTAACCACCCAGGATGCGCTCCGGATCATCCAGGCAGAGCCTAGGTGAAGCTACGGTTCATGCCGGTGCTTCCCCGGTCGTTCCCGGATGACGCCGGAAGAGCCCCGGTTGACCCAGGTAGAGCCCCGGTCGATCCAGGCAGAGCCCCGGCAGAGCCCAGGACGATCCAGGCAGAGCCCCGGTAGAACCCCGGTGGATTGAAAACGCCCGAAAATGATAACATTGATACATAATTTTTATTTAATATGATATCTATTGTTTCAGAATAGTAATTCATGATGATTTTCTGAAAAATCCTTATGCCATACTGGATAGAAGGGAAATGGGAAGGCTTTTAATACAAACAGGTGCAATCATCGCAAATTGTCGTTATTCTTTTGAAATGATCCGGGCTTTGCCGGGGCTCTACCGGGATCAACCGTAGCTCTACCTTTATCCTCCGGGGCTCTGCCTGTAGTTACCGGGGCTCTGCCGGCATATACCGGGGCTCTACCGTAGCTCTACCGGCTATATCATACCCCGGATCATCCCCGGTTTGTGCCGGCAGAGCTACGGTGCTTTCCCGGTATAACCCCGGTCGTTCCCGGCAGAGCTAAGGATGAAGCCGGCAAAGCTATACCTTCCCGGATCATCCCGGACCACCCCGGTGATATTAAATATTTTATTCCATCCGGGGTCGAATGCCGGATGTTCCCGGATCATCCTGGATCATCCAGGACGTTGCCGGCAGAGTTACGGATGTACCCCGGTTGTTCCCGGTCGTACCCCGGTAGTTCCCGGATCACCCCGGACGTCTACCGGGGATCTGCCGGGATGTAAGCGAGACTGCAGCTTAAAGTAAATTGTTTTGTTTATGTCCCCGGGCATATTGTAATTAAAACGTCCGTCCGTTCGCACAAAATTTTTAGGTATATGAGCTGACTAACGGTACACTGGGACAAAAGAGAACAAAGGACTTCATTCCGTAAATAATAGTTAGCCTTCAAGGAAACAAAAGAAAAGAACAATAGAAATAGCTCATTGGTCCGTCCGTCCGTCTGTTTAGGGGCTATGTAACAATAAAGAGAACAAAAGAGAACAATAGGTTCATTCCGTGATCAAAGGGTTTATGGGCTAGTAGCCCTTAAGAAAACAAAGAAAATAACAAAGAAAATAGACCCTAAACCCAAAATGTTGGAACGTCCGTCTGTCCGTCTGCCCGTACGAGGTTAACCTAGAACGGCAAGTTGGATTTTTCTTAAGTTCTACCTGTACCAATGGCTTCATAATTTACACACTTACTAATCCATACAAAGTATATGATCTGGGCAAGTTACATAACTATGGCTTCCATTTGCACCAAATTATGGCCCTTTTCAGCACTTAGAAAGTGAATAATGGTTAACCTAAACCGGCAAGTTGGAAATATCTTATGTTTTATCTGAACTAATGGCTTAATAATTTTCACACTTACTTATCAATACAATGTACATGATATTGCCAAGTTATATAAATGTGCCATCCATTTTCCCAGTAATTTCCCTTTTTATCACTTTGAAAATTAGGGCCTTATATGGTTAACCTATCCCGCCAAGTTGGGATTTATCATATTTGGTAGGTGGATAACCTTTAACTCGCTAAAAATTTCACCTAATTACTTATCATTTATTTAATGATTTCTTTCATATTTGGTAGGTGGATACCTTTAACGGTACTCTAATTTTTTTGTGGCGTTAGGGGTCTCTAGATCAGGTGGTCAGTTGGGTCAAAGGTCAAAGGTCTAGATTTTTGTACACGCTTTCTGCCCATACAGCCTTTATATATTGACAGATTTATTTTCATATTTGGTAAGGAAAATAAAGTTGCATGATATTTTCTTTGGATGAGAGTTAGGGTTCATTTGGGTCAAGGTCACCAGTGCCTTAAAATAGATTTTTTTACACTTTTGCCCATACAGCCTTTATTTATTGACAGATTTATTTCATATTTGGTAGGAAAATAACTTGCATGATATTCTTCCTTTTGATAGAGGTAGGGGTCAGTTGGTCAAGATCAAGATCAATTCCAGATTTTACACATGATTGGTTTTCTTCCATACAAATTAGCTTCTTCACTCTCTAAAGTTAAATTATTGACAACAGTGAGCGCGGGGGCATTTGTGTTTATCAAACACAGATTCTTGTTTTAGAATAAAGTTTCTGACCAGGAACCATTTAAATGTTGAACCAATTTGCCAAATAATGCCTTAGACATGATAAGCCAAAAAAATTTCTGGCTTGTGCGTGATAAATCTCATAAAACCCCGTAATTCCTGAAGTATAACTGGCATATTTGGTACATTTTTATTTCGTAGTGCTTATCGTCAGATTAAAGAAAAATCTTCAATCCATTCCCTTCAGTAGTTTTGGTGTTATCAGCTTGCACGCAAAAATTTAACCAAGAATTTCTAAGTCGAAAAGGGCCATAATTATGCAAAAACGCAAACCAGAGTTACAGGAATTGTGCCAATCATGTTAAATAATCACAGAGTGTGTGAAGTTTTAATCAATTCCTTCAGTAGTTATGGAGATACCAGCTTTGCATCGCAAAACTTACAAGAATTCTAAGTCGAAAAAAGGGGCATAATTATGCCAAAAAGCATCAGAGTATGGGACTTGTGCAAATCATAAGATATTACAACAGAGGAAAAGTGTGTGAAAGTTTCAATCCAATTCCCTCAGTAGTTATGGAGATACCAGCTTACACGCAAAAACTTAACCACAGGGACGCCGACGCCGACAAATGGGTGACTGCATTAGCTCGATTATTCTGCGAATAGTCGAGCTAAAAACTGTTATCGAACAGCATGGATCCTGATCAGACTGCGCGGATTGGCAGGCTGGTCTGAATCCATGCTGGTCGCAAACCCATTATGTTGGTTTTGTCATGGCGCCGCTCATTATTATGATAATACCTATTCATCAATGCAAACTCGTGCCTACCATGGCGCCGCTCATTATTATGATAATACCTATTCATCAATGCAAACTCGTGCCTACCATTACAATGTGAAAATATTCCAATGTTTTTTGTTGTGTTTCCAGCTCCATCATGTGTGTATGTTGTTGGTTATGTGTAACCTCGCACTGGCTGGTATAAGTGCCCCCACTAAAACTCTCAAATTTGGTAAGTCATTCATTACTTTGGCACACTTTGCATATGAGGCATATTAGGTTTTTTTTATATTTTAAATATTTTCTCGTAAAGACTTCGAGACCTATTCTAACACGTGATCTCGTTCTCTTTTAATAACCAAACATAAACAGAATTTACCTAAAACTTCATACATATCGTATGTAATAAATGTAACTAACTCAAGAGAAGTTTTAGAGTTATTGCCTCTTGTTATCCCCCGCCGAAAAATTTCGGCGGAGGATATAGAAATAGTCTCCGTCCGTCCGTCCGTCCGTCCGTCCGTCCTTCCGTCCGACATTTTTGTCCGGAGCATATCTCTAAAAGTATTTGAAGTTATCAACTTGAAACTTCATAGGTGATCAGACCTCATTAAGGAGGAGTTGCAGTGCACAAGAATGATAACCTATACTTAAATGATTTTTGAGTTATTGCCCTTTGTTATTTTTCAACATTGATTTTTTGTCCAGAGCTAACTCCAAAAGCCTATGGAGATTATTAACATGAAAAACTTCATAGGTGCATAGATCTCACCTCAGAAGGTGTGGCAGTGCACAAGAATGATAACTCTACATTTTATAATTTTTGAGTTATTGCCTTTGTTATTTTCATACCTAATTTTTTCACCTGAGTGGAAGCATAACTCAAAAAGTGTTTGAAGATACATCAACATGAAAGTCCATAGGTGGATAGATCTTATTGAGGAGCGAATGTGTGTTGCGCAAGAATGATAACTCTTCCCTAATACAATTTTTGGTTAATTGCCCTTTGTTTTCATGCTATTTTGTCCAGAGGCTTAATCTCAAAAAGTTTTGAGGTATCAAGCTGTGAAACTTCAAAATGGGATTGATCTCATATGAGGAGGAGTGCAGTGCTTAAGAATGAACTCTACCCTGCATTATTTTGAGTTATTGCCTCTTTGTTATTTTTCACACACCACAGACTTTGTCCGAGCAACGACTCAAAAAGCCTTTGGAGATATCAAAATGGAAACTCATAGGTGCATAGATAGTCACTCAGAGGAGTGTGCACTGCACAAGATGATAAACTCTACATTTTATAATTTTTGAGTTATTGCCCTTTGTTCTTTTTCATACTTAATTTTTAATTCAATTTTTTTTCTCAAAAAGTATTTGAGGTATGCAAACTTGAAACTTCATAGGTGGATAGATTTTACTGAGGAGGGATTGCAGCAACACAAGAATGAATAACCTACCCTGCATTATTTTTCAGTAATTGCCCTTTGTTATTTTCAGCCATCAGTATTCACATAGGTTTTCAAAATCTGTAATCACTTATAGCCATCAGTTTTCATTACCAAAAGACCTCTTAAAATGGAATTATTCCGCTCTACTACATATACATTCTTCCAATGAGCAAACACATTCGGCGGGGGATGGCCATGTTGACATGGCTCTTGTTTGTCTTTTTTTTCTTGCACAATTTTTATCAAGAATATTGTCTGTGACTGCTTCATGTTTTATTATCAAATACTGAGAAAATTCGGGCGAAGTATGTATCTCTGTAGTTGATAACTCTTTTCACAGTGAATAGTCTAGCGAGTTATCTGTTGAATAGCTCTTGTTTTACCATCATCGAGCGAGTTCTGTTTGACACCTCTTGTTTTCAGCATTGTATGCTATGTTTTCTGTACGAAATCTGCTGTGGTCATAGTATTATTTTTACAATAGGTTATATCATTATTTTATGGACTTACGAATAATTGCTAATCATGGTCCCATGGCCAACTCATAGTCCTAAGGTGAAGAACAAGCCGCGCGCTTCGTTCTTCGCCGTTGCAGGTCTATTATGTTTCTTGCTTTAGGGCGGTGGAGGCTTGCTCATACAAAATTTACATTTATATGCCATTTATTTTTTCCAATGATTGTTATCATTTAAATGCTTCTGGGATTGTTGTTTTATCAATTCATTTGTAAATAAGATTGTTATATGTCTATAACGGAATAATTTTTAATGAACACGAAATTCAGTTCACACCTACAGTGTATTGGTAAACGTGATGGTTTAAGCCAATGAAAACACTCAATATTATTATATCAGGCGAGAAAAAGGTGTGCAAAGAGGGTAAATCGATAATCTTTATGTAGCCAGCAAACTTGAATTGCAAAAGTATTTTTTTTTCATATCTTTTCGGCAGAATAAAGTTTTAAGGAGGATTCGTATCCGTAAATGGCTGCCATTTAGCAGTATCTAAGTGGATTTAATTATCCCAAGCACGCACCGCGCACTAGCGCGGGTAATTGTTAATTATAGCTAACCTCGGCGACGTTTTTTACATATTTATGTAATAAATATTTACAAACTGTGTTTTCGGGTTTTTTATCAAATATATAACCAATAATGAGGTTAATAATGGAATAATAATCACAATCTCAAATCTTTGACTATATTTATTAATGAAATTCCTACCTAAGTCTATCGCGCAACTCTATAGACAGGTAAATCAATAACGGTAAATTATGCTGTCGTGGCAGATATCCACCCAGACTGCCGATCGTTATTGATTTTACTCGACGATTACATAATCATTAAGCGGTGTGATATTTTTGACTTGGTTATTTAATTTACCGTCAACATGTTATTTCTGTTCAATTTTTTAAAAGTAACATATTCTAGAAAGCTGAAAGATAGATTTTTTCAAATATATATTTTATAATAAATCAGTGCGTTTAGTATGAATGAAAATTACGACGAGTTTAAACACAGAGTTTTTTTTTTTTGTCTCGATTATGTGAAAACTCAGTAAAAATAATGTGCCCTCTTCGAGCAAAATATAAGATTTTTCGTCATTTAATGGTCGGAATTTCGCAAATACCTATCAACAGAACAGCTGAGAATTTGATCTTTTTTAACCGTGCAATTATCATTTACAAAGCTAAATTATTTTGGGAATTGTAACGAGTAGAAACGCGCAATTTAACTACCAAGCCAAAATCGCGACCTGCACACGAAAGAAATTTTATACACATGTAGTAACAAGTTATTTGTTTCGTTAAATTTTTACCTATATTTAACTTATTAAGCCTTTATATTTTTATTTGAATAAACAACATTGTTTTAAAGAAAATGAAGTTATCTAATGTATCTATTTTTAAAAATTGAATAAAAGTATGAGTTGTATAAATTTTGAAAAACTGCACCAGAAAAGAGCTCTTATAAAAATGTTCGTTTTCTGAAAAAACGGCCCTAAACATATTTTTTGTTATAGAAGTATTGGTGACACAATAAATAAGTACATTGTACCGTCATAATTGATGTTTGCTGCAGATTCAGTAATTGATTTAATCACGGTTATTAATGTGCATCTATTTAATTGTTCAATTGTGATAGTTTTCACACTTTTTCTATCAATGACAATAGATTTTATTCATTAATCATTGTACAAATGTTTATAGCAAGAAATGATGAACAAATCAAATACACATCCCATATCAGTCGGTCCTGTTTGAAACTGCTTTTTAGTGGGTAAGGCTAGATTGTAATTACTTCAGTTTCAGTTTATTCAGCAAATCGGCATAATAACATGCCTTTGGCCAATTTAACATTTGCAAAGTGAAGAATATGGCCAAGACAACATAAACATATAAATCAGTACATAATACAGTGCTAGTACATAATAATTACATACAACTACACAACTTGTCACAAATATAACAGTAAGTGAAGTGTAATTATAATAATGCTGATTAAGGAAGCAGTTCTACATCGACAATCTTTTCCTTATTTGAAATGCTTCATACAAATATTTGGCAGTTTTATATAAACTTAATTTCTTATTCTACAGGACATAATGTTTGAACATTTGCTAACTAGGCCATGACAATTACCTAAATATTTGTTCTTATTTCAGAATTATAGGGCAGTTAACAAAAAGTGATAATTCCGATTCAAAACTACTTTGTATTACAAAGCTTTACAGATTCGTTTCATTTTCTATGCATACCTTAGATATCTACCAACCTCAATTTTCTAAACTACTGAGAACTTAATCTAAAGCTGTCAATGCATTTTTCTAAATTTATCTATATTAATACATTCCAATATTTTTCCAAACCAAAACATTGTTTATACAGTCTATAATATTCCAATTTGGACATGTCTTCTATACATTCATGCATTTTTGTACATATTGATCTTCGTAACCTCTGCTTTAAAATAGGTGCAAAGTTGTAATGACCCAGGAGTTAAATAAATTATAAACTACATCCAAATCAATCTACTAATGTTTTAATGCTTAGATGCCCCACTGAATTTATTGTTTATTTGTGTTACATTGTTCAATATTAATTTATACATTGTGAATTTTGATTATGCATTATTTTTTAGCCAGTATTTAATGATCTTCTCTTACTAATAACAGAGAGAGGGTAACCTTCCTAGCTTCGCCAAAACGCAAGCATTTGGAGTTTGTTGTTTCCACCTTAAAAACAATTTACAAATTTTGATATGAAGTTTATTACCTCCTTAAAATCATAAATTCCCATATCAGAGGCAATACAAATTATTGGTAAGCAGACCAATAGAATCAAAAAAGCCAGTAGTTTAGTTTTAATATCTAAGTTCACTCTATATAAGCAATTGTAATAGTAATTAAAGCCTTGAGAGCTTTGATCTGATAAATTTTTAACAGAATTTTTCAAATTACCTGTAAGAGTAAAATTTAACATCACCAAAAGATAAGTAAGAATTATCAACAACTTCTACAATTTCATCATCTTATGTCCAAACATAATTACAACGGTTGTTTTTCTTTTCTCAAAATACAAATTTTTGTCCTTTTTACATTAAATCTTAAGACCCCATTTTGTAGAATAATTTTGAACCATGTTTAGTTGTGCTTGAAAGACTATCAGGACTAGTGGTAAAAGGAGCTATATTCATCAACACGCCAAAAAAGTAACATATACAACTCAAAATCATATCTAGGTGCTTTTTAGTTAACAGGTTAATCAAGACTTTCATTTATATCATTTATGAACAAAAATAAAAAGTAATGGGAGAGTGGTTCGCCTCTTGCTTAAGCCCACAGTGACGTCCAAAAAAAATTCTGATAGTTTCAGTTTCGGGGACAATCTAACACAATGTATTAACATTCGTATATATTGAGCTCTAATAATATTAATCTTTTAACAACTTAATTACCGTTTTAAAAGTTTAACACATAATCATCCTACACAGTATCAAAAGCTTTTTCATAATCGATAAAAGCACAATTGATAATTTAGACTTATTAGATAAAACCTTTTGTGAAATAATCGAATGTAAAAATGAATATAGAACAATCAGTTGTCGAAATGCTTTATCTCTAAAACCAAATGTGTCCATTAAATACATACATTGTTCACACAATTTATATCAGCCGTGTTTCTTAACGCAATGAAAAGAGATTTTACCAAAATTACGTTTAACAAAGTGTTATTCCCCTAAAATTTGGAACGGATACTAGTATCCCCTTTTTAATGTCTGTATTTATAATACCCTTAACACCACGACTCCGGTATAATACGGAGTCCCAATATTTTATTAAATATAGATTACGATGATGGCACAATAAAGTTGTTTAGAGTTCAATGAAAAACATCCGCAACACATATTATTTATAATCACAAACTTTTATAACTATCAGTGTAGAAATAGTTTTTGCTATTTCTTTAGCTGTAAAAGGGCTGTCTAACATTCAAATATTTATTTCGTTAACTTTGATCAGAATTTAATATTTTCAGGGCATAAACTCACAATTGAGCTGTATTATGAAAATATTTTTAAAAATGTTCTAAAAAATCCATTAGGACTCACACATTAGAATTAACTTTAATTATACTTTATTGAACTTTTTTTATATGTTTCAAAACTTCACGTGGACTGCTTTTACTCATATTACATAGTTTAGACCTTCTTTTAGATTAAAAGATCAGCTTAGCATTCATTTTCATTTTGAATATTCTTTCTACTGTTAAGAAAGTTAGTTTTATTGTTATCATCCATTATTTAAACTCCAAATGCTCTTTTTTTTTGTCAAGAAAGAGATGATATTTGCCCGCCTGCAAATCTTCATTGAACCAAGAAGCTTTTTTTATAACTTTTTTTAGGTTTGTTAGCTGTAATTAGTTCTCACCCATGTATCTTATATGAAATGATCACTATACACAGTTTTGGTGAAAATTGATTAACACAGGTTTGCAAACTATCAATATCAATCAGAAGCTTAATTTACTTATTCAAATCATCAAATACATATTTAGGTTATCCAACAACATTGCCTAACATCTTCTTTTGTCAGTATTATCCCATACAATTTTCATCATAGATGATAAGTTATCGTTTTTATAGAAAAAAAATCATTTTCAACATTTAGTGAAAACGTATAGGACAATGATTGAGAATCAGTAAGACTATTGAATTTCCATCTGAGGTAATTAGTGGACAATTACTAATATTTGTTTATAATCATATATCAACAACACTTTGCAGCATTTTGATTTCTAATAGTATTGTAACAAGTGAAATCTCTCAATTCTCAAAGTCGGCCGTTGAACAATAATAACATCATTGGTCGCTTTACAGTACGTAAGATAATTGAGCATAATGCAACTTGTTGACGCGTACGACCGGAAAAGATTAACGACATTATTGAACGAGATTTACGTTCAGGGGTATGTTAGACAAGAATACAACTACTGGCATTCGGAAACCGTGGCCGCGTAGGAATGCTATAGCATAAGGGTGCAGGTCGCAAGGCATTAATATGGTGGACAAGTTCCATTGAGGACAGAAAGTCATATGGTTGATCGCTGTGGCCGGTGTGGCAATGTTTAGGTCACCCGTTGTAAGCGGAACACGGTCACGACGTGATGTCAGGAGAGCTGAGTAGTAGTTAGCGTCATGGTATTCAAGTATTTAGATGTTGTGTGTCCGATAAAATCGAATTCATAATAGATAGAGGAATACATTCTTTTGTTGGTGTGAAGACGTGTCGGAGTCGTGTGCAGGAGGGTGTAACACAGTACAACAAAAGTTTAAGATCATTTAAAGAGCCGAAACATTCAGCATTATAATGGTATAAACCAAACTAATACCGGTTTATGTTGATTTAAATCAACAAGTTCTAATTTGTTCACATATTCATGTTTGTAATATACAATGATGCCACCACTAAAGCGTTTTGCTCTTTGTTAGTTTTTGGACGAGGACATACAAAAGATTCATAACCTTCTTAAATTAATATTAGCAATTTTGAGTTTCCCATGTTTCTGTCTAAAAGAAGTAAGTCAGAAGAGTTTACAAAGTTAAAAAAATCTGGGTCATCTAGCTTATTCTTTATCCCTTGAATATTCCATAATAGTACTTTAGGCTGCTTCTCGGTAGATTCCTAGTCGGTGGTAGCGAAAAAACGTCCTCCATCAATATAGAGCTTGTCATATACTAGAACCGCAGATTTACTTTGATTTTTTGCTTTTATAAGTTCTGGAATAAGTTTTTTTCTACGTTCTTGGATTTCTTTAGGATACTGATCTGCAAATCTTTGAACTTTTGGGCTGTATCATTCAGTGAAATTGTCGTGCTGATCTACCACTTGAAACCCTTGAAACACATTTGTTACGATCTGAAATAGATGAAATGACAAATGACCTGTTGAAATAGGAAGGTGGCGCAACTCACATCTTCCATATGAAGCGCGTAAATGCAATCTTTGTATGTTAAATGAAGTCGGTGATGAATTTCACTATATGTTAGTGTGTCCTTTTTTCTGTTTTCAAAGAAAGCGATACATCCCAACTTACTTTTTCAGTAGACCAAACGTGTTGAAATTTAAGGAATTATTATCAACAGAAAATTTTGATCTTCTTGAAAATATTGTATTTTTAGCACGTTCTATTATTGAACACTTTAAGACTAATAGCTAGAACAAGACAGGCCTAACGATTTTCTAAGTTGAATCCAAATGAATTCAAGTTCTTCCTCATTTTCATATATTGCTCCCTGACTATCTTAGTAACGAACGATTTAATATTTATAGCCTTTCTTAGCGGTTGTAAATATTTGCAATATTGTAGTATTGTCTATGTACGTGAAAAGCGTGCACCTGTAGTGACGTATTAGTATTTTCTCACGCCACCTGATATTCCTTTGCATTAGTTTTCATTAGTATGTATGATAATTTGATAAATAACTATACAATTTATAGAAGAAATAATAACAAAATGTGTTAATTATTTTTTTTTTAGTATCATAATGCTCTACTACTCTTTTGTTACACCTTTTCTAGAAGTAAACATATATATTGTATTACATACATGTATGTACATGTACTTACTATTTATCAGTTAATCATAAATGTATATTTGGAAACATAAACAACATTTCAGCAGTTTTGACAATATAATTACTGTCCCCATGTGATGAAAAAAGTTTAAAGTAGAATTTGTATTATGTATCATGTTACCCACTCTTTATTTTATGGCTTCTAATAAAAGTGATTGTTGTTGTTGTTGTTGACATTTAATATAAATATTTTGTTTTATCAACACAGAATAACCATGTACTAATGTTAATATACGTACCTGGAATAACTAACAAAAAAGAAGTTGAATATAACTTCTGAGTAAATGAAAAAAAAATGGGGGAAAATTCATCAATTTTCAAAAAGACATAGCATTAAAATTACTCTGCTGAAAATTATAAATAATATCATAAACCATTTACTATGATGTAGTGACTAACTTTTCAGCTTTCATTTATATTTTAAAGGTCTTTAAATACCTCTGATGCTTCGGCTAAAATAGGTCGTGAATTTAATTTTGCACCACAAAAATTTAACATTTTCCTTCAAATTCCACGCCACAAAAACAATAGAACAGATGATAAGGGAGTGTTAAAAGTACCTTCACGACATACTTGAATTTATTTTAAACCGATTTGTGCAAGTTTAGTCAGTTTTCTTCGAGTGGTTTAAGCCTGATGTCTCTGCAGATTTTATACGTGTTCACTCGTTTCAAACAAACTTTCCGCCATTTTGTAAATCTCATTCATCCAGAGTGGAATATTTCCAACCCGATTTACGCCATTGAAAGCGTGATCTAGTAAAAATTTACATACATAACAAAGAAATAAGACTAACCCGTCATTATTTCTTGAGTATTTTGTGCAGATGCCCATAAATTAGCGCTTAATTAACATATTTTTTAATGAACTGAAATTGTTGCCTTCCGCCATCGATTAATGTTTTTCGTAGCATGTGCGCATGCGCGTAAATGGCACGACACCAATCACGGTCTAAAATCTAGTTGCGGATACCGTTAATATACGTACCTGTGTGTGTGTTAATATACGTACCTGCTTAAGTGTATTAAAAAGGTTTTTAATTTCCTGTAATTTTTTTATTTTGTGATTATGCTTCAAAGCAGTCAATTGACCGTGAATTTTCTTTTCATATTTTGATTTCCTTGAAATCATTTTTCTCATCTGAAGGCATGCAACTGTAATATGGTGATACATTAATTACATTCCATGAAAATGTTAAAAGATATAAAATATTTCATGACATGTTTGTTCATTTTACATTACAACAAAAAGTAGTATGCAATCGTACCTACATTACATACGAATGTATGTAATATTTTTCTTGTTATTCTGTAAACAACTGTTTAGTTGTATTAATCGTGGACAAATTAGACAGACACAGTTAATAATCTTACATGACTTAGTTATAAGTACAATATAATCACATTCGACATCCGCGTGACGCTTAAATAGTAATCTATAGTAAGTTTTCATTTCCCATACTTCCCATGTCCATGAAAAGGTACACGAGTAAAAGGAGATGGCTAGCGAGTTGTTTCATTACAGCTGTCACTGTAATTACTAAATTTATTATATTTCCTTTTCATGTTTTCATCCAGAATGCTACCCAAACAATACTGTAAAGGTTGAAAACCCGGGCAATTTTACATATGTACATGCAAACAACAGTGTTACTGTATGTAGTACCACGTGGTCTGCGGGCAATGGTTCTGTGTACATCGATGGCTGCAGAAAGGTATAACATATACTTAAATTTCTTGTTGTAATGTAAAGAGTATACCGGCAAGTGTGTAGTATGTCACCTTAGTGCAGTAACGGGTTAACTTCTATTTTTCTTGGATTTTATTTCTGTCAGTTTCTGAAATAACTAATTGAAGTGAAGTAATATTGAAACTATTTTGTCTTTAAACATGTAGGTATATAACAAAAGGATAATTATGTTGTAGAAGCTTTGTTAGGGCATTTATTTTGCTACTCGCTGCGTATATATACATGTATATAATTGAGCCGCGTCACGACAAAACCAACATAATGGGTTTGCGACCAGCATGGATCCAGACCAGCCTGCGCATCCGCGCAGTCTGATCAGGATCCATGCTGTTCGCTATCAATTTCTCTAATTGTTATAGGGTTTGTAGGCGAACAGCATGGATCCTGACAAACTCATTATGTTGGTTTTGTCGTGACGCGGCTCATATGACGGTCATAAACATTCATATTTTGAAAGTGGCATTATGACGATCCATTGGATTATAGTAAGTGAACAAATAAGTTTACAGTTTGCCATAATTCCCATACATATATAAATTCCCTTCAATTCTATAATTTGCTTTCAGTGAACGATAAATAACTCATTTCCCAATAAAATTTCTGTAAATATAACGTTCAATTATATAAAAAGGAGTGGGACAGTCAAATTTATATTTTATCTTAATCAACTGTTAATCAATCATCAATTTTATATATTTGCAATTAATTCAGCTCAAATTAACAATGAAATAAAAGAGTATAATGTTTATTGAAAAAGCTGAATAGAAGGTACCCTGTGCATGGCTGACAAATATTACAATTTAGTATATACTTTATTATTTTCAGGATGACGATATCATAGTTTTCTTCAGTAATTTGGAATCTGATTTTCTTAATGTACTTGGAGGAAAAGAAAGAGAAGCATACGCAATCGACTGCAAGGAAATCCCTTTAATCGGTGTGAATTTTACCGTCACTAATGGCGTGCATGTCGAGTAAGTTAATATACATATACTTATAAATTGCACACAGTTATATGGTTGATGATTTTTGCCATTTCCCTAGTTCGTGTCTTCGTCCCACAAAAGTCGAAGGCGAAAAAACGAAGACACGATTCGGTGGCTGTACTGTGATCTGGTAAATTCAATTGATCCGGAGTGAAAACTACCAACACAACCACGAAGACAAGAACATGTGCTCACTTATCTATTAAATAAATAAATCAATAAATAAATAAATAAATAAATAAATATAGTTTTATTGTACCAGTGAAAATGATTTCATGTGCGGAGAAGTTTTAATTTATGTTTGTATCGTTAAAATAAATAACCTTGGAAAAAAATACAGAAAATTTATTATATAGAAATAATTATGTTGTTTTAGGTTAGGCGAGCTAGAGCAGACGACTTATGCAAACTTTGACCCGGAATTAAACATAACTTCCGGAATTTATATCGACGCTCTTGGAATAAGTACCATCGACGTAGTGGAAACTGGTACACCGCTTTTCTGGCTGATAAAAATTAAAACTGGTAGGTTTTGGTCTTATCTGAGCACTTCATATGTGCACATTATTGGCAGGACAAATGACAAATGAGCCGTGTCATGACAAAACCAACATAATGGGTTTGCGACCAGCATTGATCCAGACCAGCCTGCGCATCCGCGCAGTCTGATCAGGATCCATGCTGTTCGCTTACAAACTCTATAACAAGTAGAGAAACTGATAGCGAACAGCATGGATCCTGATCAGACTGCGCAGATACGCAGGCTGGTCTGGATCCATGCTGGTCACAAACCCATTATGTTGGTTTTGTCATGACGCGGCTAAAATGTGCTAAACGCCTGTGGTTCTGTCAGTTTTCATCGTCTGAATTTATGAAATAATGTAGTTGTCGGTAATTTAATTGCATTAGGATACAGTGTCAAAATTTAAAAAAAAGTGAAAACTATATTAATCAGATGAATTCAATTTATTTACAGATAATTACCGTATTAGACCAGACAATTGTTGGGCTTACGCTGGAAAGAACATAATAGATACAGTTCCAAAGAAAAAGGTCTATTCAAAAGGGTAAGATTATTTCGGACTCACGGTTCATAACTATTGAAACATTCGAATAGTATTAAGCTTACTCAGCACATAATGCTCAATTTAAGCGTTTAGGATCGCTATCTGATAGTTCTTTTCTGTAATTACTTGAACGAATCCGAATAAACTTGCCTGAAAAGTTACTTGCATAAATGTCAACCAAATGCGATTAAATAATTGCGGTCAATTAAATATATGAATCACAGAATCAAAAAATAAGATTTTGAAAGTGTAATCTTTATTTCTCTCTCCGAAGAGCTAGGACTTAGAACTAACATATTTGGTCTGTAGCCTCTCCTTTTGAACCACTACAATGTTTATTCGAATTAAAATCTTTGGAAATAGGCCCCGCCATGTGGCTTCTCAATTTAACATAGTATCATGAAGAAAAAGCTTTGAAAAGTTTTCTGCCCAGCAATCGTAAGTAATAGAGCTTAGATGTTTGCTGCGTTACATTTTACAGTTTACCATGTACAAGTTTGTTGAGGCCATGATCATTTGGCCAAAACTGACTTTGCCTCGGGGTCTTTAAATTCTACATAGTTTCGTTAAGAAAACATTTAACAATTTTACCCAAACCTAAGTGCCTATAGCTTAGTTAAATGGTTCTTAGCATTGCCTGGTGATTTCTACCAAATTTGTTCCAATAACGAACATGGGGTATCATTAGCACTGTTCCGTGGGACTCTTGATCTACATAATGTCAGATTAAAAAAAAAAAACCTTTAGAAATATGTTCCGATATAGATTTAAAACTGAAGTTAAGAGATTGTGTAGAGTTTTCATAAAATCTTACCACCAAACGATGCTTAACATTCTTTTTTGAAACATTTATTGAGATTTGGTTTAAAAATAAAGGAATTGCCGGTCAAAGTTTCATCTGAGCTCCATATGTGCTGAAGAGATCCATAGGTGCATGATATAAAAATCATCAACATAATAACCGATTATAAACATAAAGCTATTAATATTTTTTTTAATTTGTGTATCATTCTGTAATAACGGTGTCGATAATTCTTATATAAAAGTATACTATTTACCGCCTTAAAATATTTTACCACCTAATCAATCACTCATTTTTATGAGTTTAGCATAATAGCGTGGTCGCAGTGTTTGCTCTGTGAGTGTACATACCCTGGTTCGAACCCTGAAAAAGTCTTTTTAGTCCCCTACTGGTTTACCGGAGGGGACTTTAGGTTTACCCTCCGTCCGTCTATTCGTCTGTCCGTCCGTCAGTCCGTCCGATAACGCAAAAAGTACTGAAAATATTTTAATGAAACTTGATATATGGATAGATGGCAGTATGGAGATTATGCACGTCTTTTTCTTTTCTTCCTATGTTGAAAATTTTGGTTGCTATGGCAACAAATAGACTGAAAATATGACAAATTTTACACATAACCTGGATCCTGCGATAACACAAAAGTATTGAAAATATTATTTATGAAACTTAATATATGGATAGATGGCAGTATGGAGATTATGCACGTCTTTTTCTTTTTTTTTTTCCTATGCTGAAAATTCTGGTTGCTATGGCAACAAATAGACTGAAAATATGGCAAATTTTACACATAACCTGGATCCCGCGATAACGCAAAAAGTACTGAAAATATTTTTATGAAACTTGATATATGGATAGATGGCATTATTGAGATTATGCACTTTTTTTTTCTTTTTTTTTCCTATGCTGAAAATTGTGGTTGCTATGGCAACAAATAGACTGAAAATATGGCAAATTTTACACATAACCTGGATCCAGTGATAACGCAAAAAGTATTGAAAATATTTTTATGAAACTTGACATATGGGTAGATGGCAGTATGGAAATTATGAACATTTTTTCTTATCTTCCTATGTTGAAAATTCTGGTTGCTATGGCAACAAATAGACTGAATTTCAAGATTTCTGTTTCTAGTTTTTAAGTTTTTTCACTATAAGTTTCTTTATTTCTTAAGGTATTTTCTTCAAATTTTAAATATAAATTACTTGTCATCAACCACATCATATGTGTCAAGGTTTACAACTCTAGGACAAAATTTATCAGAATTACCTCCCTTGAACTTAAAATTTTCATGAAAAAATACTGTTTTTTTAATAACTTCTTTTTTCTATATGTATCTACTTCAAACTTCATATAAATGTTTCTTATTATCACTCAACATTTGTGAGAAAGTTAAATACTCTAGCAAGACTATTTCCAGAATTATGCCCCTTTTAAACTTAGACTTTTTTTTGAGAAATTGGTAATTTTAACTCCAATTTCTTCAATCATGATAGGATTTTCTTCAAACTCCCACATCATAATTATAATTATGACAAGGTTAATAAATCTAGCATCTATGTTTCCAGAATAATCTCCTCCTTAAACTTTTAATTTTTCCTATTCGTTCTTTAATTCATTTACTTCAAATTCAAAATAAACATTCATTATTCATACCTTCATTACTAATTGTTCTTTGTTACACTCACATCATGTATGCCATCTTGCATAGTTATTTCAAGAGTTATCTCCTTTTTAAAAATTTTGCTTTTAAAAATGTTACATTTTGATAACAGGGATGTTTAAAAAATAACTTTAGAGTGTCCTTCAGTCCGTCTGTACATAAAAACTGTTTCCTGTGATCACTTTTAAAGAACTTTATAAACAAATTTACTTAAAATAGAAACATAAGTGAATGGCCAATGACCCTTCAGAATGTTGCTGGTGTTCTAACCGGTAGGGGACTTATGGATTGCAAGGGCAGTTTTAATGAAGAAGTTTACTTGCAATCCACTGCATGACAATCAATAAGAAAATACTTGTGCCTGTGAGTGAAAATCTATTAAATACACTTGCGGAATCTTGAAGTGATGTTTATTTATATGACTTTGAATAATTTATGGAAAAATTATATGATACGATAGTTTTTCAAAGATATATCATTTGTCAGCTGTATAATCTTGTCCAAGTAACGTTTTCTAAGAAGAAATTATTTATCATACCAGTATTATTTACTCTGTTTCAAAATATTTATATACATGTACTGTTCTTTTTTTTATTTATATTGCTAGCATCAGATAGTTGGACTATTGATAAAGTGATATTTAATTACCAAACACACACACTATTGCACTTCCAGCTAAAGCTATGTGACTTTAATTGTTTCTTTACATTGGCTATTAAATGACTATATGAAAGTGATGCGTAGTTTATTTTAGATGTTTCCTACATCACATACGGATCTCTTCAGCACATATGAAGCTCAACTGGATTTTTTACAAGTATTCCTTTATTTTAGGCCCAATCTCAATAAATGTTTCAATAAGTGTTTGTTTAAATGTTTAGCATCGTTCGATGGTAGGATTTTGTGAAAACACGGTATTTTGAGTCCATTTAGAAACAATTTCTTTATACGCATTGCATGTTTTGTGCAAACAAGAACCCAAGACGGAAATAATATCTCCACGAAAATTTCATAAAAAAAACGGAAACCAAATTTGGTAAATACAGAGGAAAGTCAGGTGTATAAAATCACATTTTGATTTTCATTTAAAAAAAAAAAGCTTTGAATTTTATATAAATGTTTATAAATTTGAAAGAACTTACCCTGTCTTTGATCTATTTTCTCATTCATCTATCGAATCGCAGCTAGCGGAAATTCACATATATTTTTAACAGATGGCGATGCTCAATTATGAGATCCATATGGGTCCCACCACCGTTTTGAATTACAATAAAGTTACATGTGTAACATGCATAGACCATAATTTTGAATGAAATAAGGCTCAGTGTTAATTAAATAAATGTTTGGCCAATGTCAAATAATCATAGCAATATGTAGGTCATGTACATTATTTCATTTTTGTAGTCAAATATTATTCTCCATAGGCATATAGTAACTGAATCGTCCGTCCATCTGTCCGTGCCAGGTTAACTTTAACCGGCAAGTTTTTCTTCGGATTTTTCTTAAGTTCTACTTGTACCAATGGCTTCATATTTACACACTTACTAATATATATTATATATATATATATATATATATATATATATATATATATATATATATATATATATATATATATATATATATATATATATATATATATATATATATATATATATATATATATATATATATATATAAACTACTGAATACTTCACATATTTTATGCCGATATAAATTTTGATATCAGATGAATATCAGATGAATGAAGATTTTTTTATCTAGCGGCTTCTTTTTATTCTTAATTATCTTCACTATTTATTTCGGTCATTTAGAGAGTGTCTGGTAAGGTGAGCGGTTATGGTCCTCTTGTTTATTGACTGGTGTATTTCATGTTTCATAGTAAGTAGGTAGCTTTGTTGGTTGGCGTCTCCAACCTTGGTTGACTTGGTTAAAGATCACTGACGAACTCACTAATACAGGCAAAGACATTTTACTTTATTTACTTGATGTTTTGTATAACCGTATTATTTTTCAGTTGCACGACAGACGATCAACTTGTAAGTACATTCTATAAAATTGGAACCGGTGCGGAGGGCAGGCGTGCATTAATTCACACGTTTAAGTTCTATGGGTCAGATTATGTAACGTTTGTGTGTCAAGTTCGTGTATGTCCCATCAACAGTATGCAGCTCTCATTTTGCGATTCACTTGTAAGTAGCTTTATTTCAAGAATGAAAACATATTAAACTTATTAAGGCTTTAATGTCTGCTGCCATGAAATCGGATGTGACTAGCCTCTAGCACAAATATACTGGCATGCCGAAAATCATTTATTTTGAAATATTTGTAAAAAGCTCACTCACTTATATTCGGCGGCTTTTCTGGTACAAAATATGTTCTGAATGTAGAATACATTAGTTATTAGGCGAAGTATGGGGTGTTGAAATTAATAATACTAAATTATACATGTATTGTACGAAGGGAAGCAGTTATGGAGCCAAGTATTGGGTGTTGAAATAAATATACACAAATGTAACTTAATTCTTTTGTACACATAATATGACCCGACATAATTATACGTTGTCGTTATTTCACTTAAAATCATTGAAGAGAACATTTGAGCCGCGTCTCAACAAAACCAACATAGTGGGTTTGCGACCAGCATGGATCCAGACTAGCCTGCGCCTCCGCGCAGTCTGATCAGGATCCATGTTGTTCGCTTACAAGCCCTAATACAAGTACAGAAACAGCATGGACCCTGATCAGACTGCGCGGATGCGCAGGTAGTTCTGGATCCATTCTGGTGTTGGTTTTGTCGTGACGCGGCTCATTTATCCCGAGGTTGAAAGATATACAGCGTATTCTATTCTCTGGTAATTTCCCAGCACCATTATCAAAACGCATTTAAGTGATGTGCTGCATGTATGCAGTTTTATACATTAAACATTTTTTATTTATAATTGTAATATACAGGACAAAACTCTTTTAATTAAATATAATTTCACCATATTGTCTGTTGATCGGTGTACTGATCGTACTATTGGGAACCCTTTAAAGGGCCTCATATGGCAGTATATCTTCGCATGCGCGCAAACACCGAATCCCTAATGTTTACAAGTTTCACGTTAATGAAAGTGATTGTAATTGAAAACATTTCTTATCTTCTGGCGAACTGACATATAGAATTTGTCCAGTTAACGCATTTGTATGGTCAAATAATGTGTATTTATTACTTGAATGCCAGTCAAGCTATGTCATTATACACATCCATGTAGTCGGACCTGTACTGTTGGTAATCGTATTGGTACCTCAACTATTTGAAGAATAGGGTGAGCTATTGTATTCAACCATGGCGACGCACTTTGGTTAAGTTCTTGCGTCTCTTGCATAACAGGTCACTTCCCAAGACCAATAAATCTACATTAGATTTTGACAGAAGTGTAGCCTTTTTGAACATAGAAAATCCTACCATTTTCCCCGGGTCTTTTTTTAAATTTTAAGTTCATTGGTAACCGTAATATAAGAAAAAACGAGTTTTCATTGAAGCTTGGTTCATATGCGGTTTTAAAGGGTTGTAGCAAAAACAAAGTTGCGGGACCAAGGATTTGCCCTTTTAAATAAAAAAAAAGACTTGGGAAAAAAAAAAAAGGGGTTTTAAATTTTTTCTTTCGGGGTTTAAACCATATAACGGCTAAAATTTTTGGGGGCCGACTGGGGAAAAAAACTTAACCCGATTTTTAAAAACTAAAATCAGTTGGGAAGAAATGCACAAAATTTTAAAAATACCCAAATTTTATTACCGGGAAAATTTTTGACGTCAAAAAGGGCACAGGCATAGTTTAATGGGGAAAAAACCCAAAAAAATTTTAATTAAAAGATCATTTGAAATTTCCCTTTGGGAAAATTTTGACGTCAAAAACAAAAGCATAATGTTTTTAAAGAAAAGCACATAATTTTTTATATGATCATTTGATTACCGGGAAAGTTTGACGTCGGGAAAGACACAGTTCATGATGTTTAATGAAATGCACATAATTTTAATATATGACCATTTGATTACCGGGAAAGTTTTGACGTCAAAAGACACAGTCATGATGTTTAATGAAATGCACATAATTTTAATATATGACCATTTGATTACCGGGAAAGTTTTGACGTCAAAAGACACAGTCATGATGTTTAATGAAATGCACATAATTTTAATATATGACCATTTGATTACCGGGAAAGTTTTGACGTCAAAAGACACAGTCATGATGTTTAATGAAATGCACATAATTTTAATATATGACCATTTGATTACCGGAAAAAAGTTTTGACGTCAAAAGACACAGTCATGGGGCCATGCTGTTGAATAAAAAAATGCACTATAATTTTTAAAAATTCAATATAGACCATGACCACTTTTTGATTTTACCGGGAAAGTTTTTTGACGGTCAAAGACACAGTCAATGAATGTTTAATGAAATGCCAAATAATTTTAATATATGACCATTTGATTACAGGTCGGAAAGTTTTTGACCGTCAAAAAACACAGATCATGATGTTTAAAATGAAATGCAACTATAAAATTTTTTAATATATGTACGCCATTTTGATTACCGGGAAAGTTTTGACGTCAAAAGACATCAGTCATGATGTTTAATGAAATGCAACAATAATTTTAATATATGAACCATTTGATTACCGGGAAGTTTTTTACGGGCAAAAAAAAAAAAGGAAAAAAAAAAAAACGTTTTTGGATTTTAAAAAAAAATTTCAAAATTTTTTAAAAAATGAAACCCTTTTTTAACCGGGGAAAAAATTTTTTACGGGGCAAAAACAAAAAAAAAGGGCAGATGTTTAAAAAAAAATAAAGCACATGATTTTTTAATTAATTACCATTTTGATTACCGGGGAAATTTTTTTTTACCCTTTTTAAAGTTTCAGTCCCTTTATTTTTTTTTAATTTTAAATTTCACTAAATTTTTTTATATATTTTTTTTTTTACCAATTTTTATTATTTCGGGAAAGTTTTTTACGGTTAAAAAACAAAAGTCAAAGAAAGTTAAAGAAAGGGACATTTAAAATTTTAATTTTGCCAATTTTAAATTTTCCGGGGAAAGTTTTGACGTCAAAAGGGCACGGGCATGATTTTTTTAAAGGGGAAAAGCAAAAATAATTTTTTTATATGACCATTAATTTTGATTACCGGGAAAGTTTTGACGTCAAAAGACACAGTCATGATGTTTTAGATCACTCTCGTTGAGGGGAAAGTATGAAATTAAAAAAAAGAGACAATACAGGACTGTGAATCAATGGGGTTTCATTTCTCTGTAATGAAGAATTTCAACAGGGTATTTTAGTAACTTGTATTTACATATTCACCTTTTAAAAAGATACTATATTTGTAATTTTCGTATCTCGAAGAAATATATAGAAAAATGGAAACAAAGATTTAATGTTTAAACAAAGTAATTAGAATATTTGCGCGCGTTGCATTACATACAACACTTATATAGAAGATATGTCATTCTTAATAACAATACATTTTTAGAAAAGAAAACATGTGTGACATCTTTCAAAACTAAATGAAGATCAAGTCATAAAATAGTTTTTATCAATAACATAATTTAGAATTTTTGATTCATTATAGGAATAATACTGTAAGAAAAATAAATCTTCAATAAAAACATTGCCGACAGTTTCTTGCCACGTATTACCGTCTATAAGATAACTAAGGCGAAACTATTCTAGCAAAAATATCATTTGAGCCGCGTCACGACAAAACCAACATAATGGGTTTGCGACCAGCATCCGCGCAGTCTGATCAGGATCCATGCTGTTCACTTACAAACCCTGTTACAAGTAGAGAAACTGATAGCGAACAGCATTGATCCTGATCAGACTGCGCGGATGCGCAGGAGGGTCTGGATCCATGCTGGTCGTAAACACATTACGTTGGTTTTGTCATGACGCGGCTCATTTATTGGTCTCTTTCCATATTGAAAACTTCTTGCTTTCTAAAATTTGAATTCGGATGTACATTGCTCACCTTTGCTATGCTATTGTTTACACATAAACTTTGAAATTATTCTTATTCCTTTGCAGGAGTGTGACACAGGAAGAAAAAAAAGAAATACCCACCAAGCATTGGTTGACACTAAAGAGGTGACAGTTAGCCGAACAATACGAATTGTTGATAACTCCAATAGTTCTACTCTAAGTGGTATAAACTATAACTATACTCAATTGCAAGTGGACAATTCTGTATACTTACTTGAGCAAAGTACTGATAAATTTTGTGTCAACAATTTCAGAAAATGATTTACTTAGTATTTAAATTTGGTTATTATCAGAAATTTGGTTGCGTGTAAATAGCTTAAGTACGAAAAGTAAAAGTTACAGCATTGAGATTTTTTTTGTCTAGTCACGTCACAGTTGATCAGTATCTGTGGCGTCCATCTCGTCTACAGATTAACAAAAGTGCTCGATACCGCATGGACCTAACGTTACCATTTTATTTTTTATTAAATTAAAAATTTTTTTAAAAAACTTTAAGACTTTACTAAAACACAGGGCCCTGGGAAATTAAAACTTTTTTATCAAAAAGAAAAAATTTTATTTTTAATGCCTTTTTTTAATCCGTTTAAAACTTACTCATTGATTATTTAAAATTACTTACCCCTTTTTAAACACATTAAACACATTTAAAAATTTTAGAAAAAAAAAATTTTAAAAAATTTAAAGGGCAAACCCCATTTTCAAAAACCCCTTTTGATTTCAACCCCGCCCTTTTTATAAAACCAAAATCGTTTTAAGTCAATTTAAATTTTATTAATTTTCTGGGAAACCTTTATCCCAAAAATACGCCGTTTAAAAGTAAACAATTTTTCCCTCCCAATACAAATCAATCACTTAGAATACCCTGGTTTTTTCCACATCGCAAAAAAAACCTCTCACAAAATAAAGAAAGACAAAAAAAAAAAAAAATGAAAATCAACTGCAGAATAATGAAATAAATGCTCTTATATTCCATACTTTGTTAAAAAAAACAATTTTTAGAACTTATACTGCTCGATGGACATATTTTGAAATAATAATCAAAACCTTTTTTAAATGATGTATTTTTAAACAAAGCTGTTATAGGATAATATTTACATATTTGCGATGTTTATAATGCATTATTTCAACAATAAGGAAAAGTCTTTTCTTTTATCATTTCTTCCCAATTGCTTTATAAATTTCTTTGAAAATAGAGCCTGTCTATATTTGAGCCGCGTCATGACTAAACCAACATCGCGGGTTTGCGACCAGCATGGATCCAGACCAGCCTGCGCATCCGCGCAGTCTGATCAGGATCCATGCTGTTCGCTTACAAACCCTATAACAAGTACAGAAACTGATAGCGAACAGCATGGATCCTGATCAGACTGAGCGGATGCGCTGGCTGATCTGGATCCATGCTGGTCACAAACCCACTATGTTGGTTTTGTCATGACGCGGCTCATTTTGTTTTTATTTCAGGTGTACCAGATTTATTGTTGATTGTGTTATCCAGCATTGTTTGTTTCTTAAACTATAACAAAAGAAGATGGTGACCATGAAGTCCTATAATAATGTAACAAACGTTATTTGTGTCACATATAACATTAACACAGTAGTTTATGTCACAATTATTAAGGATGCATGTTGTTTATGTCACATTTATTAAAGATACATGTTTTATGTCACATCAGAAGTTTTGTTAACGAATGTTTGTTGTTTGTTTGTTTGAATGAACTTGTTTGTTTGGAGGGAGGGACTTGTTAAGATATATTTAACCTGACAATACAGCAAGATTGTTCATGGAATGCCCAAGACGCTATTCATACATTTCTTAAAATAAACGAATATAATTCTAACGTATTTTGTTTTTTATGCATATATTAAGTGAACCGTCCATCCGTCTGTCCGTACGAGGTTACCCATAAACGGCAAGTTAGAATTTCTTAAGTGCTACCTATAGCAATGGCTTTATAATTTATACAGTTAATGATCCAGCAATTTCAAAAACATTGGGGCCCCCATATTTTTTAAATTTTTTGCCCTTTTTAGCAAAATAGAAAAATTTATATGGTTAAATAAACTGGATTTTATATACCCTAATTCTATCCTAATGGCCATGATTTCCATACTTTACTCAATACAAAGAACAAGTTTTTGCAAAGTTTTTTTAGCTTTTCACCATATTTCCCAAGTTTTTTTTCCCTTTTTTAAAACTTTGAAAATAAGATCTTTTAAAGGGGAAGTTGGGTTTTTATCAAAATTTAAAATTTCTTTTTTTTTTAAAAATCTTTTTTATTTGGGAAGTAGATACCTTCAATGGTCCCCTTAATTTTTTAACTAAGGGGGCACTTTATTAAAATCATTTGTGAAAAAAAAATTTTTTAAAATTTTTGTTCACAGCCCTTTTAATTTTTTAAATTTTATTTCTTTTCAGTTTTAAAATGGCATGCCCGGGAAATCCCCTTCCTTTAGATTTTGGGTCAAGGTTACCAATGCCAAAAACGATTTTTTTTTTACTTTTACACGTGTAGTCTTTTTTTCTATCGACATATGTCTTTTATATTTGGCATGAACATAAATTGGGAAGTATTTTACCTTTGGATCAGTAAGGTCAAGGTGACCGGTGCCAAAGATAGATTTTTACAATTTTGCCAATACAACCTTTATTAATTAACAGATGTCTTTTATATTTGGTTGGTAGATAACTTGCATGGGTCAGTGGTTCAAGGTCATGGGTATTTGGGTACCAATAATAGATTTCTAACATTTGCTTAGACAGCCGTTTTAATTGATGTTTTTCATATTTAATAGGATGATTACTTGCGTTGGCTTCTTTGAATTGAGCGGTCAGTTGGGTCAAGGTCACCAGTGCTTAAAATATATTGTTTACACTTTTGCCTTTATCTATCGATACACGTCTGTCATATTTGGTAGGAAGATAACTTGCAATGTCTTCTTTTGAACTCACTCCGGTGTCAGCGGATCTATTTTACTTAGTAGAATCCGGTATTACGTTAGGATATTACAGAGGATAAATAGAAAACAACCTAAAAAAATATAAACCGAAGCTTGGCTTCCAGCTTTTTATATGATTGGACTTCAAAGTCTTCTACCGTAAAATAGTTTTCCCTTGCCGTTAAAATTAATGTCGCAATATGTATATGCATGATAAATTTTAGTTAGCAGTATTATATAACAATAAACATTGAGAAAATGTGTGCATAGTTTTAGTTACTTTAGGGCAAAAAGAAATGGTCCGATTCATCTGCTGACTCAAGACGAAATATGCTTTTGTTTTAAATTAAAATGTAAAAGCGAATGATTAAAGTATAGTATGCAGCTACGATAGGTGTTGGGTGCATGTAATACTCATATGTAGTATATTGCTTTGCGAACTTGGACAAGTTTATAACTATACTAGTGTCCATCTACTTGCCCCTCACTGCTGTGGGTTCGAATTCTGCCAGGGATTTAGTATTATTCATATCTTCAGCTAGCATAAGGAAAGTCGCTGGTTCTATTCAGGTTCCCGTTCGTGCCTGAAATAATGCCAGAGAGGCACCTGGGGTCTCCTTTCAACAGTATAGCTGGAAAGTCACCATATGACCTTACTGTGTCGGTGCGACGTAAAACCCAACAAGAATCTATTAGTATTTGTATGAGACTCTTATTTTGTATAGTACTAGCGTTATACAATCTGGCTGAATATCAGCTTGTTTATTTTTACAGAAGTCACATTTATAATCTTATAAAAATAACTTATCAGGCACATTGAATACTGTATGTTCTACAATAAACACAATTATTATGTTTCGATCATTTACAATGTACGTTACATTCACGCTTGTAAATGTGCGTGCGTGTGCGTGTGTGCTATTGTATTTTGTTTGTCACTTTAACCAGCAAAAAGACCTGAGACCACTTCCATTTTATTTCTGTAGACCTTATCATAGCCTGGGTTACAGGCGTTGATATTTTTGCTTATTCATAATATATGCGCTATTTAATACTCGATCATGATATGATCGATTTGCCAAAGAGGAGCACATAAAAATCGACAGACCACAGGCTAACATTATCATTATAGCCGCTATTTCGTCAGATTTCATACTGCATAACATGCACAAAATAACATAACACCCGTAACCCCGGCTATAACCAAATAGCCCAAACATATTCAAAAATGATATCCATGTTGGTAATTACAAATTATTGTAAACTATGGATTCAATGTTTCTACACTAGTTAATCTACATTTGAAAAAAAGACTGAAATAGAATTTTACCTTCCGGCGATACCATAGTCTAAGTAATAATACAAGCATCGAAACACGAGGCTATCTGATTTATACGAGGGGGCATAGCCCCCGAGTATTAATCAGATTGCCGAGTGTTTTGATGTTCTTTCTCTTTTGTATCATAGTCATACATAAAAACACATTCCCTGTTATCATAATATGACACCCAAGAAAAAAATGAACCAATGATCGAACATCTAAATGTGATATTTCTGTCGCTTTCCCTTTCTATGCCGTCACAATATGTAAACCCCAGCAAAAATGAGTTAATCAATGGGCACGCTCTGGAGTGTGGGTAACTAATACCTGCACTCCAGTTAACGCACTGTACATGTATATGTCTGACACATTTTTCAACAGAAAGGTCCCCAAACTATGATACAATTCTCTTTTGTATCATAGGCAAAAATAATAACAGTTCGCTGTCGTCACAATATTAAACCCCAGAAAAATGTGTCCAAAGTACGAGCATCTGAAAGTAACCAATGCTCAAGCATCAGAATATGACTTTTCGCAATAAGTAAATCCCAGAAAAAATGAGTCAGTCAAGTATATTGTATCATAGTTATGGAAACGTGTCAGAGTTAAATCGTTTACCAATATATGCACTGTGCGTTAACTGGAGTGCAGATATTAGTTACCTCCCTCACTCTGTGTTGAAAGGCTCATTTTTCTTGGACTTTCTTATTTGGACGACAGGGAAAGAGATAACGACAGAAAAGTCATATTCAGATGCTTGTACATTGGTAACATTTTTCTTGGACGACACTGAATACGAGAAAGAAAATGATTAGCCGATAGAAATATTCTTTTGCCATTGAATTTTGCCTTTTACTTCTATTAAGCCAGAGGAGGTAGGGGTGTACACCATTTTACCGGGCTCGCCAACATTCTGCAATCACAAATCATGCACATTGACTAACTGTAAACGAAATAATACGAAATAATACGCATCTTTGCGAGTGCATTTTATTTACATTGTAAAATGTATACATAAATAAACAAAATTTACAAATATTACATCATGATAACAAAACAACTAGGCTGTTTTTTTATATTTTGAATATACATGTACAAGTTCATTACTTAAAATTTTATAAAATGTTGCCAGAAGTTTTTAAATAAGAAAAATATAAAAATGGATTATAAACTTAGTTTAGTAAACATTTCAAACATTCAAGGATAAATAAATTATTTATTTCTTATTCACTTTCCTTTCCTTAAACTATATCCCTCAGTAGACAACATCAAAATAAAATATGTCTGAATCTTAATTTACAAAAAAGGTGCATTTTACTTTGAAATAAATCAATTGTGTCCTTTGTGAATCGCCCATTAGTTTATATTTTCACAATCCACACGAACTCTTTTAAGTATCCTATATGCGATTTTAAATTTATCTTACTATGAAAATTTATACTCGTCCCTCTTTTAAAAAATAAAACATAGTCCTGAATTAAAACAAACACACATTACACCACCCCTTATATACATGTAAATAATATAATGCCATTTTAAAGACTAGACAGCCACGCCTTCCCATACTCATTGTCATATACTGTAAACAAATCTGTACAACTTTATAGCAACAAAGTAACAATATAATAGAATCACACCAGTTGTCCTAATAAATAAATGAACAAATAAATAAAATGACATAAATAAATCAATTAATATATATAAATTATTAAATAAAATAGAGTCTATTAAAAAAGAACACATGTAAAAAAATTAATGAAATAAAATGAAATATTTGACAATTATAACATAAGTGGTCCATCGTTACAAACAGTATAAACAGAGTTGTTCTTCGTTACAAACAGTATAAACAGAGTTGTTCTTCGTTACAGACAGTATAAACAGAGTAATTCTATAAATAGAGATGTTCATCGTTACACTTAGCAAACATCAGTCTAAATGCCATTCATTAGCAAAAAAAAATAGGATATATGAAGAAATAACCGATGACACATCAATATTTAAAACAATGTCATGAGATGCTTTAATTACATGTTGACAACACAACTTTCTTTTCTTCAGGAGCACATTTGTCTCAGAGCACATTTATCTCACAAAGTGAGACCGATGTGCTCGTTAACATTCATATTTGCAACAAATTGAAAATGAGACAAATGTGTTCGACAGACAATAGAAAGGACGCTTGAAGCACATTTGTCTCACACTTTTCCATAAAATTCTAAAAAAGGGGTAAATGCCCGTCCGTTTACCGGCTACAAGCCATTGTTCTGTGCTTCCTGTATTTATAATACCGTTTTTAGGTCACTTATGGCCAATCGAAAACTTCCTGCCTTTGCATAAGAGTCATATATTAACTTAAAGAATATACCTGTTTTGCATGTCAGAACGAAAATTTCTACCAGTGCAGTATACAGAGCAAAATACATGCAGCGAGATCATTCTTATCGTTATTAATTGTGACACGTTTCTTCCCGACGCTTAAAGTTTTATAAATACATGTAAATGATTTAAGAAATTTTTCTAACAACAAAAATGTCGTACATGTTTTTACGGTGGCATAAGGTGGACAAATGATTTTCTTATTTATTACGTGCGCATGCTATAGCTATAACGTCGCCACGCGATACTATTACGTGCTCACTCGATAGCTATTACTTTCTAAAGGGATAGCTATTGCATGCGCAAGCGATAACTATTACGTGTGCACGCGGGTAGGTATTTCGCATTTGGACACTGGACGGGCTTCCTGGCGTGAATAGTTCGACGCCCGAGCGAGTGGCAAATATGCTTTGTTGTCCCTTCAAAAACTTGATCGGAGCACATTTGTCACATTTAAATGTGATTTTTGGGGTAGACATTTGAGGTCCCATTTGTCTCATGTGGGACAAATACGACCGCATCGGTCCTTCGTAAGACAAAATTTTTATATGCTCCGAGAAAAAGGTACTCCTACAAGGCTTGACCGAAAGCTAATTAACTGAACAAAACATACCTTTGGAAATAGTAAGGCTAAGGTTGATAATACAAAACTCCCTAGTATTGTTTTTGTTCTGAATAAAATATGTATTTATCTTCGATATCGTAGTCCTCTTTAACTCATGGTTTACAGGGTTGTTTGCATAAATAGAAATAGCCAGAACGGGAAATTGTTGATATTAAGTAAAATTGAATATTATAAATACAAAGGCTATTGGTTCAAGAGCGTGTGTAAAATATTTTAGAATGCTGTAAAAGTTGAGCGATAAATCTGAGCGTTTTATCAAAGTAATACTTAACTTTGCAGGATTTGATATAAAGTGTTTTTAAATAACCAAAAATTAAAGGTCCTTGATAGTAAATGTTTTTAACGCACATTTCTTATCAATTGTAGAATAATATGTTTCTTCTTGCTCAGGATTATCTTTCATCACATTTTCTACGTCATAAACTTTGCTCCTCCCACCAAACACATTATCTAAGCTCATTTGTGACGGCGTAGAATGGGAAACTCCCATCGACATGCGATTAGGGGAGTCTCTAATAACTGTATCGACGTCATAAAATTTACTCCGCCCACTTGTGTAACCATCGTCCAATCTAGTGTGGGATGACATGTGTGGAACAGTTCTTATTGACGCCTGCGACTGACGCTTTGAGAGTCTCTGCTCACTCATTTTCCTTTCTAGCTTTTGCTTACGTTCATTTTGTTTCGCCTCGCGCATTGCACGTCGGAAGCTACTTACGTAACAATACAGAGCAATAGACGCTGAACCGCCTAGGAAGAAAGAAAGACCTCCAACTAAAAACATTTGAGCAAGACTGAATCTGGGTTTCTCCATGAAACTATCCGACATTGAGCTTGAAAGTGCAACATCTGAAGAAGAAAAAGAAAGCTTTTATGAAGTTCTTGTTAAGAGTTATAAACTTAAACTGTAACATTTTATCAAAGAAGTCCTAATCAATCGTGTATAATTTCATTCAAATTGTATTAGTGGCATAAGAGAAGTAGTCCGGACAAACTTTTAATACAAACATCATTAAAGGGTCATAACTCTGACAAAATCATTGAACTGAAACATACCAACAATATGCACAAGTAGATTTACTGATCATTCCTGTAAAGGTTAGTTGAAATTGAACAGTAGTTTTTGAGGTGCAGTCCGAACAAGTTTGACAGACGGACAGACGATGGAGAAGTGTCCGCTACACTTAACAGACCACACAAAAATGCATTGCTACACAGCTCCAACAAAGAAAGATCAACAAATACTGTATTATAAAACATAAAAGAAGATGAAAGAAGCACTTACTAATACATGGTCCCATATCACAATCTGTAGTCTCCTCTCTATTGCCTTCACAATGTAAATAAAATTTAATGCCGGCGGAGCTTCACTTCCGGTCCCGTATCACCATTCCCCTCCCCCAACTTCCCGGCCCCCGAAGCTCCAGCCCCAAAACTGATAATGTAAAACCTGGTAACAAACAACGAGTTTAATTCAGCGAAAAAATTTTAAAAAAAAGGGCCAGAAGTACATTACAGTAACGAAGTTAAATTGTAGCAGTTGTTGATCTTTTGTAAAACCAAAAAAATCGGGAAATATTTCATTGTTTTAATTCTCGGTCTTTCCTTAAAAAAATAGTTTAAATGTAACATAAAACTAAAAAAGATACTATAGTTCATGTATCTAGCAGAGAGCCTACAGGAGTAACCTTCTAAACTATCACGTGAAAATAATTTAATATGAATTTTTCATTACTTAAAAAGTATTTATAGGAAGGCATAAAAAATATTAATTTGTTAGTCTTTACATTTTATTTGAATGCATACGTTAGTAGTACCCGTTTTTAACATTATAAATTTTTATTGTTTACTTAAAAATGTCTTTTATAATCCTGGTGATAACTTACTCAAAAGCTTTTTAAAAAAACATTTTAATGGTATGTATGAAAATTTTTTGGGAATCCCGATCTTTTAAAAGTATATTTCCTTAAAATGGAGGGAAAAGGGACTTTAAAAAAGTTCCTTGGGGATGGATGGGGCATGCCTTTTGGCCCCCCATGGGGGCCCTAAAATTTTTTTCCCCCGGGTTTGGGGTTTTTACACCCCTTTCGTCCCCATTTAGCCCGCCATCGCAGCCCCTTGTACAGGTTGACCACGTGTTCCATTCTGACCAACCACCGTCAATGTTGCTGACAAGAGCGACATCTATAAAACATGAACTTCAATTATCTACATGGTTTATTGATTGCACACAAAAGCAATACATTTCAAGAATAATAACATTTTTCTGTCTCATTCTTTTTGCTTGTATCGAATCTATCAATTAGTAGGTTTCCATTATGGAAACAATTTGAAATGTTTATTTTTTTAATGTTCAATGTCATTTTGAAAGAACTAGAAGTAAGCAAAAAATATCTGAAAGCTTACCAATTGATTAAGAAACGCAAGATTTAATCATATAAATTGCTTACCTAAGAAAGCCAGGATACACATTTTAAAGACATGGTTTTTGAGGATCGAACAGTTTAACGATGTAAGGAAAGTTTTTTTAAAAGAACGATAGGGAATGTAGCCAGATATTTGCAAAATCCTACGGATGGGAAACCAAAGTTAGCAGTGTAAGACTTGGATGATAACGGCAATAGGGTGCTTGTGTACTTAGCAGTTACCTGTACGGTACCTAGAGCTGATTTAATAAGACCGACCGCCAAGCGGTGACCACGCTTGACTTCATCATTTTTTTAAAGTCAAATATATCGGTCGTAAATAATGCATTTTACTGTTGTGTCACACGTGTAAAATTTTGACCTGCCGCCATAACATCATGTAGGTCAAGGTCACCTATGAGTCATAGTGAAACAGTTTGATTTTCTTTAAGACTTTGTCCTAAAAAAAGTTGTGTTCCAGTATGAAGATTAACAATTTCTAAGTTAAAGCTAAATATATTGAAATTCAATAATTAGACCTTCATAGTCACTGATGAATTATGTTCAATGTCATGGTAGTCTACTCCACAGGACTGTTGTGACAAACCATTTTTAAAGCACAAAGTTATAGCAAAATATCAAGCTAAATTCAAAATTTTGATCTCAAGTTATATCCAAATACATTTATAGCAAAATTCAATAATTTTACCTTTCATCGTCATTGATGATTAAAGGTCAAGTCCTGTTTGGTCTACTTGAATGTCTTGTGCAAAAGGGTTGTAATGTCCAAGTACAAAGACAATCCATTAAGAAATAAAAAAAAATACGACCAATGTTAAAATTTCCATATGGTCACAAGTATGGACAACATGACTTTAGCCAAAGCTTGCATTTTTTTCTTTGTAAAGGAAGCTAACAATAATATACAATAACATACACAGATCTGTGTAAATAACAATGTCTCTTTAATATAAATTAGAACATTTACTAGATGCATGTAACTAACTTGAAGAAAATGCTAAGAAAATATTTATTATGTCCAGGACAGACGTAGGAGCATTGTTCATTATTTGACAACATTGACTGTTTACATAGCATTTAGAAAATATCTTGTATTCTGGCTTTTATTTTGATGGTTTTTAATTATGATGGATTTTTCAATGATAATGTCAATAGTAAGGTTTTATACTGCCGCGCAAAATGAAAGAGAGGTCTGAAACATTAAAGTTAGAGTAAATAAATTGCTCAAGCCTATACTATGGGAAAAATAAACAAAAGCATTCAGTGATACTGTATTTTATTCATTGTTCATACTTTACAAAAAATAGAGGGTTTTAAATAAATACACACTATATACACAAGAATTTTTATCTAAAAGAATAGACATAGTATAAAATGAAATAAACAAAGAAAAAAATATCAGCTGAAATTTGGTTTATAAAATTTGGTTAACAAAGATGGAAAGATGGTTTGTGATACAGTAAAGAACCAGTTTGTCAATATCTAATATGATTCAACATTAATTAATGCAGGTATTTTTATACTTGACTTACAATTTACCTGACTTACAAGTAGTAAATGATTTGGTAAGACCCCTATAACAAGTTGTATAAATGACAAGGTCTAAAGAGGCAGAAATTGTGTGTGATCTAGAGGGATTATTTTGCTCATAATGACAATTCAATGACAAAACATAGCCCAGACATTTCTTCATCATATATTTATAAAACAACATAGACCAACTATAAGTCTAGCAACTGTTGTTAGGATTAAAATAAGTCAGTTTATGTTCTGGTATAGTTAAAAAAGATTCCACCTCTTTCAGACATACATTGTAAACAGGTACACTTAGTGTAGACTGATACATTGTAAACAGGTTCACTTAGTGTAGATTGTTTACATTGTAAACAGGTTCACTTAGTGTAGACTGTTTACATTGTAAACAAAGTTGATTAAAGCATTATGTCCCAAAGTTAGTCTGGTGTTTTAAATAATAGAGAATTTGAGCTATATTTAATAACAAACATATTTAAGAGGCACACTATCATGACTATGATATGCTTAGAAGCCATTTATTTAATATATGTAATAAGAAGAAAAACTTGCACAATCTCAAGTGATTTATGAATGTATTTCTTTTTATTTCAGACATGAACACCCATTTTTTTTATCTTAACATGTTTCAACATTATAATATTGTTATTTGCTATTCACTATTGAAGTTTTGGTTAACTTTGGGACAAGCTGCTTTAGTTTAACCATACATATAATGTCCCTTTAGGACTACAACAAATATGTTCAACTTACAGCAGATATACTGACCTTATTATATAACAATAATATCATCAAGGCATATACACATAACAACATCACACTTAATCCTATATATATATATATTGCACATATAATTAAACACAAAAAAGAAATCTTGTTATATCCAGTAGACTAAATTTATTTGTCCTACTACACTCAAAATATTTGTCGTATATAAAATACAATAAAAAACAATCAAAGATAGCTTCATAAATGTAAATTAAGCTATTTATATAAAAGATTAGAATAGAATTAAACCTGGTGACATAAATCAGAATTCAATACAAACATAAAAAGGACCTGCTAAGGACCTTATTAGTCATGTGACCTTAAAAAGTGACCTAAGTCATGAACATGTGAAATCTTGCCTATCTGTCAAAGCATTACTTTGAGGTCCATTAAAATTTATAAATGTATAATTCCTTCAAATCAGCATGTGAAATGTTACACCATAGCTTGAATTAATAACAGCAGTCATTTATACTATTTCAATTGTGTTATTTTCAGACTAAGAATATCATAAATGGTTTGAAGTGCAAAGAATTTTACTACATGTACTTAACATTTTATGTTCTATTAGATTTTATATTTATTGTTAGCCTTCATCCTGGTGCAACCATGAAAGTGACTTTACCACCAGTACAAAGCCAGGTCATTGTACATATCAGTGCAGTCTGACCAGGCTCTATATAGTTGGCTAACTAGGTGCTGGTTTTTGTAGTTTACACTCCGGTTCATGGAAGTAAGCCACTTTAAAAATTCACCAAAGCACAGTTCAGCCACTGCATCATTCCTGGGCAGGCTGTCAAGCTGTTTACCAGTACTAGATGCCTCACTTTCCCAAGGAACTTCTATTTATTTCTGTAAATGCCAGAGCAGACGTTAAGCGCAAATGACAGTAGAGGGGATTTCATTATCAATCACAATGAAATTGACCTAGATTGTCTGGGAATCCAACCAAGGTCGCCCAATTAACAGTCCAGTGTTCAACCTATTGAGCAAACCAGCCAGTACTTGATGGTTCACTTCCTTAAAACTTTTTATTTTTTCAACTTTATATTCTCAAAATTACCAAATAAAGAAACTCAGCACGTTAAATGGTAAATAGAATTCATTCATCATTAATCAAAATACCTTTGATGTAAAAACAATCAAAGTAAAATAATTATTTATATATTAACAAATTAGTATCTAGTAAAAATGCACACAAGACCATGCTTTGTTTTGGGTACACAGAGAGTAAATATAACCTCCAAATGATTGATCATTTCTCAGAATACTTTTTCAACTAAGTCAAAATGACTTAGGTGTAAAAACATATCTGAGAGCTGTGTCTAAGTTCAATAAAAATAATTTGAATACCAGTCCACAAATGCAGCGATGTTATTGGTTGCATGGATAATAAATTTTGCCAATGTACAGAGAAAAGCTGACTGAATCTTGGAAAAGCCGACTGGTTTTCAATTTGTTTTTTATAGAATTTAGTCCTTATATACCCAAATATATATCTTTTATTAAACAAAAATTAAAATATATAAAAGTACTACAACAAAAGAGAGTGTGTGTGCATGTGTCTGTGTGCTCATATCTGAATCACAAACAATTATATAGTTTACAAGATCACAAAATGTACTTACAAAAGTCAAAAGTACAATTAGGTGTTTGGCTTTGTTACAGATATACATATCTATAAGTGACTCATTCCAACATAAAATAGAAAAAAAATGAACACAAAAATAATGGAAAATGAAAAACTGAAACAAATGTAAGGAATCATGTAGCTTATACAACAACTGTCACCTTTACCCTATCTTTTATCAATATCACATTACTCTCAATATTTTGTTTCTCAAAAATGTGTTGCCTCAAGCAAATGTTAGTCATCTTTAATACTTAATCTCTGCTTTACCCTACAGTTTAATCAATAAAATACTGACATATTTGATTACTTATAAGTCACAATGTTGGGATGCTGTCTTTTTTACAATTTAAGGTTGGATTTATAGAAATAATCCTTCTTTTTTAAAATAAAAAAAAAATCTTTTTTTGAGAGATAAAAGAAAGTACAGAATGTTTAAAAAAAGGTATATGGTTTTCATGCAGTGTTTAATCCATGCTACATCAAAAGGTTTCCGATGTGCTGTTTGATTTACAAGGTATAGACATACTTGCCAAGGAATAAAGCAGAGATGTTTGCAAAAGTCGATAAATAACATTAAATATCATAAAAGGGTTACATTTGCAATTTAGAGCGGAAGTATTCAGCAAGAAAAGTATCAGTGAATTATGTAACCATAGCAACAAGGTGACATGATCTATAAGCTACAGTCTAGCGTGGATATGTATGAGATGAAATGACATGTGACTGAGACATGGATTAAAAAGAAATTGTACTGGCACTAGTCCATCTTTCTGACAGGAATGGCATATCGTGGTTCAAGCTGCATCGGACACACAAATTCTCTTGACTACTTGGCACGATATTCACGTGCACGACTGTGTCAGATCCGTACAGTCATTTATTATGCTCATATGTTTTTATGTATTAAAATTCACAAAGTCTTCATTACTAGTCGATTTTTTTTTTCCAATCCTTTTTTCATAGTTTTTTTTTTTTATATTTTTGTCTAATACTAAAAATAACATGACTCAGTGGTGACATTTTCATGTCACTATAACCAACAGGAGTCATTTCACACTTATATATAGCACAATGTTTTATACAAAAAAGTTTTCTCTCTAAAAAAAAACACAATAATATCACATCTTATTTTAATGCGAAAATTTTCCCTACATCTTGAATGTTTTTTATCCTACAGTTATCCACATGTTCCTATTTTCATCCATACCCACATTTCTGACAAACTAAAAATATCCCAAGCGTTCTACATTTACAATACCCTCTAAACAATCTTCGTCTATGTTTGCAATAACGTCTAAGAACACGATCTATGGGTGAATGCGTGTCAATTTCACTTTTAAGCTCACCTGAACCGTAACACTGTCCACCATCGAAACAAAATCGTGCCTGAGTTTTTATGTGTTTAGACTGAATCATTGTTTGACTGGGCACTTTAGCCATGCACATAAATCTAAATCTCTCTTCAAAGAAGCCTCCCTTTGTATGGTTTGTAGCAACCCAGGGGGTCCATGGAGTCATTTGGTTTAACACTATCAAAAAGGGGAAATAATAATTACAATAACTGTTGCATATAAAGATCAAATGTTTAAATGATAATTGATTTTATAATGAATGATTAGTGAAAACAATCAAATAAAATTTAGATTCTGATCTATTAATTTCTCTTGTCATAAAATGTCATTTATATTATATAATAGCAAAATTATAAGAATATTATTACTGCTTGGCAGGTAATCACTGATTTACCCTCTTTTGTAAGTCCTTATCTAATTGTCTTACTTTTTAAGATTAAAATGATTTTTACATGATAACTTTTTATTTCTGATTAAACATTTAGATTATTTCCAAAAGAATATTTTAAGACAAAGTTTGGCAATGATTTATCAAGTAAGATATAAGTGGACGTACTTTCACAAAGTTGAGTATTGCACATTCGCCATTCTTGAGTATTACCGACACATGGTATAGACTCTACAGGAGGTTGTGGTTCTATACAAGTTCTCCTTCGTCTTTGTATTCCGCCATTACAATTAGCCGAACACTCGGACCACTCGGCCCATGACGTCCAATTACCTTTCACAGGTGGCACTGTAAATAATATGATCAGTTATTTAAGCTATGTTTGGTATAAGATGAAATAAGATGATCACAGTTTTCAGATAGAATTTATATTATGTTGTTATGATGGTTCAGAGTATTCACAGCTCTATACTCACTTTTCCAGACCATTACTTCAAGCAAAATCCCATCTTAATGCAATGGTTAGAATCCTCTGTCTGTAGCTTACAAATATCAGTGTCAAACAGTTTAAATGTTGGACATGTTGAGAATAGATGTTTTTTTACGTTACAGTATCACTCCTCTACATCTGAATAGCACAACAAAATTACTCACAATATCTAAAACAAGAGTAGTATGTCATAAATTTCAATAAAATAAAAAGTACAAAGACTTAACTCACATGGACATGGCGGGTGACCTTGACAGTAATCATCTTCAAAACTTGTTCCCACACAAGGTCGTCCACCAAATCTAGGTGGTGGGTTACTACAGTAACGATGCCTAGATCTGGTTGCCGTGGAACCACAAGTTTGAGTACATGCTGACCAGGATGTCCAGTCAGTCCACTGACCATGTGCTGAAATATATCATATACTAAAATTACTTTACTGTACCTCCATATACAATGTATACCTAAATATCACATTATTGTCAAGTTCATAAAGGTATAACAAATTAACTGTATATAAACCTTAGAATCATTTAAAATATATCTTATAATAATCAAAGCCTTACCTGTACAGTTTGTGACCTCTACACTGGCCCCGTTACATGGCTGACCACCATAGTAAGGTTTTGGATTATCACATGACCTTGACCTACATTTACAATCACCAGTTGTTCCATCACCACCAACCTGGGAACAATTCTCCCATTTTGACCAATCTGACCAACCTCCATTCACTGAAATCCAACATTGTTGTTTACAAACATGGAAAAATGATAAGTTTTATTCTCTTTATAATTATGACCAGAATACTGCAGGATCTGAAGTCAGAGTTTGAAAAGGTTCATTCATGACTTTTTTTCATAAAAATAAAAAACTATACCAAGTTTCATACAGAGGCCTTTCTTCTTAAGAACCCTTTCCTGTTATTCTTTGCAGTATTGCAAAACGTTATGAATATTGTATACCCAGGTACTTCAAATGTTTCTTGGCCATTGGTTTATGCTAAGAAAAACTGAAGAAAAACAAAAACATATAAAACATACCAGCATGGGGTATAAATGGACATCCAGCCATACTCTGTGACCAGTAATGGACCTCGGGTTGTCCAGAGGGCGCTGTTGTACACTCTCCTATGCTGTCATCCCATCCACAATATGGGTCATTGGCATTTATACATACACTGAAATATTAATATATTATGACTATGTTATTAAAATGAATAATGGAAAATACTAAAAATACATTTACATAAAAATACATAATGAAGGTACATTACATATGATGGTGAAAATACAGTTTCAAGTCTAAATCTACAATGTCATTCGAACTTGTTTTTTTATTGGTAAATTTTACTATGAAATTATGGACTAATATATACATTAATTTCAGGTGTAACTCAAAACTAAGTAACCATAAATAAGTAATTTAAAAAAAAAAAATAAGTGCAGAGCAGCAGTTTCTGTACACTGCACTTCTTATCAATAAAATCTATCATTCTATGATGTTTCAAGTCCATAGCTTTTATACTTGAGGAAAAATGACCAGGACAAAAATAAAGTAAGAAAAGCAACAAAGGGCAATAACTCAAAAATAAGAAATGCTGAGTATCAGTTCTTATGCACTGCACTTCTTTTTAATGAAATCTATCATCCTATGAAGTTTCAAGTCCATAATTTTTATACTTTCAGAGAAATGGCCTGGACAAAAATTAAGTATGAAAATAAACAAAGGGCAATAACTCAAAAAGTAAGAAATGCAGAGTACCAGTTCTTGTGCACTGCACTTCTTCTTAATGAGACCTATCATCCTATGAAGTTTCAAGTCCATGGCTTATATACATTAGGAGAAATGGCCCGGCCAAAATAAAGTATGAAAATTAACAAAGGGCAATAACTCAAAAATTAGGAAGTGCAGAGTACTGGTTCTTGTGCACTGCATTTCTTTTTAATGAGATCTATCATCCTATGAAGTTTCAAGTCCATGGCTTTTTTAGTTGAAGAGAAATGGCCCGGACAAAATTAAAGTATGAAAATTAACAAAGGGCTTTAACTCAAAAAATAAGAACTGCAGAGTACCGGTCCTTGTGCACTGCACTTCGGGTTATTGAAAGAAGCATGCATACCAAGTTTGAAGTCAATCAGACTTATAGTGACTGAGTTATGCTCCGGACAAGCTTTAGCGTACGCCGACGACGACGCCGACACAGACGCCGCCGCCGACACCGCCGACAAAAGTAACCCCTATATGTCACCTTTTCAAGGCGACACAAATATGTCACCTTTTCAAGGCGACACAAAAATAAAGTAGTGAAAATGAAACTTGTATTAAGACTTAATTAGCAAACATACTTACTCGCTATTTTTAAATCTTGAACATCTATGTACAGGAACTTTTATTACATTATGTTGTGTTGATATATAGATTGCCATCTGAAATCACACATTTATAACATTACATTCCTCCATTAATTTGTATATGTATTTCTAAATAATTTAACAAATATTGTTTATTCCTGACTGAAAATAATCATAAACTCCCCCAACTTTAGACTTGAAAAAAAGAAAAGAATCAAAATAAGAGGAAAATGGAGAAATACAACACATCAACACCAGAGCTGGTTGTGGTTATTATTTTCTACTGGTTTCTGTTCGATCAAACCTTCATCAGGATGAAAAAAGGAAATTGTCAAAAGGAAAGCCAATTTAATACATAATTAATTGTTTTTATAAATTGTTTTTCAGTTTATTTATAGACGTTTTTTTGCAATTAAAATCTATTTTATTTTTGACAGTGTGAACTTACTAAAACATTTCTGTTGACAGTTTAAACTTACTTCATCAGTTGAGATTCTCATTTCCTTCACAGGTTTATGATCTCCATTTGGAACTATTTTAATCTCTTCGACAAGACACGTTGTATTTTCACTTGACGACAATAATGTTGTCAGTTTACGTATCTTGCCGTCTGCTGTAGCCACAAATACCACTCTATACATACCCTGCTTCCCTCTAACATTGTCTACTACTACATGTGTCCATCTGTATTATAATAAAGACAATAAAATGTTAATATATATACATCATCAATATATTATTATCAGATATTAGATAATATACCAGTATGACAACTATTGTCTATAATAAATGGTTGACTGGTTAGATGATCTACAGGGAGCGTCCGTGGCCGAGTGGTAAAGATTGTTGACTTCAAATCACTTGCCCCTCACCGCTGTGGGTTCGAATCCCGACAGGGACTTTGGATTCTTTCATGTGAGGAAGCTATCCTGCTAGCTTACGTAACGTCGGTGGTTCTACTCAGGTGCCCGTTGCTGCCTGAAATATGCACGGAAGGGCACCTGAGGTCTTCCTCCACCAGTAAAGCTGGAACGTCGCAATATGACCTATACTGTGTCGATGTGACGTAAAACCCAAAACAAACAAAACAAACAAAAGATGATCTACAAATTTAACAAATTTCAGTCCAGTAGTGAATGGCAGTCATCAAACTGGTGATCAAGAATTTTATTTATCAAATAACTGTCCACTATTTTGCATGAATCCCTTGGGAGAGGCACTGAAGGACAATAAATTGATTTAAACCTTTTTTTCAGTTTAATCAGTTCAATTGTTTGAAAAAAATACAATGCCCAAGTTTACAGTCTTACATACATTCCATAGTATGTTATCTAGTTCACTGTATTATTTACAGACAAGTTGTAAAGTTGTGTAACATCATGCCTTTAATTGAAACTGTGATAATATAAACCTGTAAACTTACTGTACATAATTCATATTCAGAGAAACATAACATTAAACATACAACTGTATATGAAAAAAATAAATACTTGCAATACATCAAATTTTGTGACAAAAAGATACAATATGTTTTGTAACAATAGATCTTACCTCTCATTATCAGCATGAACTAAAGGTATCGTAGTTTCTGGTTGTACAGCCTCATCCATAAACTGATATTTGGACTCAGTCATTGGTTTGTCATTAGACCGTTTAGTATGATCCCTCTTCTCCGGACACTAAATCATTATGGATAAAAACATAAATCAGTTAAACAAAGGGATTGCTATCTATTTTAGTGAAATAAGGGATTTGCTTGCTATTTCATTAAAACAAAGGGATTTGCTTCTGTTTTCAGTAACACAAATGTATTCCTTTCTATAAAACAAAAAGGATCACCTCTATTTCAGTAAAACAAAGGGATTGCTTCTATTTCAGTGAAACAAATGGATTGCTTGCTATTTCAATGAAACAAAGGAAATGCTTTCTTCTTCAATAAGACAAAGTGATCACTCGCTATTTCAATGAAACAAAGGGAATGCTTTCTTCTTCAATAAAGGGAATGCTTTCTTCTTCAATAAAACAAAGTGATCACTTGATATTTCAATGAAACAAAAGGGAATGCTTTCTTCTTCAATAAAACAAAGTGATCACTTGCTATTTCAATGAAACAAAGGGAATGCTTTCTTCTTCAATAAAGGGAATGCTTTCTTCTTCAATAAAACAAAGTGATCAATCGCTATTTCAATGAAACAAAGGGAATGCTTTCTTCTTTAATAAAGGGAATGCTTTCTTCTTCAATAAAACAAAGTGATCACTTGATATTTCAATGAAACAAAAGGGAATGCTTTCTTCTTCAATAAAACAAAGTGATCACTTGCTATTTCAATAAAACAAAAGGGAATGATTTCTTCTACAATAAAACAAACTGATCACTTGCTATTTCAATGAAACAAAAGGGAATGCTTTCTTCTTCAATAAAACAAAGTGATCACTTGCTATTTCAATGAAACAAAGGGAATGCTTTCTTCTTCAATAAAACAAAGTGATCACTTGCTATTTCAATGAAACAAAGGGAATGCTTTCTTCTTCAATAAAACAAAGGGATCACATTCTATTTCAATGAAACAAAGGTATTGCTTTCTTCTTCAAAAAAAACAAAGTGATCACTTGCTATTTCAATGAAACAAAAGGGAATGCTTTCTTCTTCAAGAAAACAAAGTGATCACTTGCTATTTCAATGAAACAAAAGGGAATGCTTTCTTCTTCAATAAAACAAAGTGATCACTTGCTATTTCAATGAAACAAAGGGAATGCTTTCTTCTTCAAGAAAACAAAGTGATCACTTGCTATTTCAATGAAACAAAAGGGAAAGCTTTCTTCTTCAAGAAAACAAAGTGATCACTTGCTATTTCAATGAAACAAAAGGGAATGCTTTCTTCTTCAAGAAAACAAAGTGATCACTTGCTATTTCAGTAAATCAAAAGTATTGCTTGCTTTTATGTGAAACAAAGGGATCACTTGCTATTTCAGTAAAACAAAGGAATTGCTTTCTGATTAAGTGAAACAAAGTGACCACTTGCTACTATTTCAGTGAAACAAAAGAATTGCTTTATCTTTCAGTGAAACAGAGAGATCACTTGTTAATTTTTTTTAAATAAAGAAATTGCTTTGCATTTCAGTGCTTAAAAGGAGTGTTAGAATTAATCATCTTAATTCAAATTATGTTTCTATACCTCCATATCTTTTTTGGCTTCCATTACTTCATGACATAAAATCATACATTAAAATCAAAGGAGTTTTATTAGCATAAAAAATTCAACTGAAATGAGTTAGGCCCCTACCTATTTGTTGACCATATACTTTTAAACAATGTATCCCAGTTTGAATGCTTGAAAATATTACCATCCAGGCTTTTGCCAAAACAGTTATTAAAATAATGTATACACTAACCTGTGTAAGAGGTTTTTGACCATTTTCAGGTTGTTCATGGCGCTCCCACGCAGAACGAGGACTTTCCTGATACTTGAACGGACCAGCGAATGACTTATCTAATGCTAAGATATTATATACACACACTGCAGATCCAGGTATACTGTTTCTGTAATATATGATGCACTTTATTCAGAAATACTGGTATAAATATTATGTAAAGTTTGTTTTAAATACTGAATAATTGTGCATTTTACAATTACATAAGAGTAAACAATATAATAATTACCTTTTTAACAGTGGAATATTGAATAAAGAATTGTATTTTTCACTTACATTAGTGCATAGATAACAGATTTCTTGTTGTTTTTTTTGGTTTTGCTTTTATTTGTTGGGTTTTGTATCGCTGCAATACAATTTAGGTCATATGGCTACATTCAAGCTTAACTGGTGGAGAAAGACCTTGAGTGCCTTTCTGTGCATTATTTCAAACATAAACGGTCATCTGAGTAGAACCACCAACATTCCAGTTAGTGGTTTATAGTCACCTTGACCACTCGACCACGGATGCTCCTAGATCACAAAATAATTTTTTTTTTCAATTACATTGATTGTATTCATAAATACAGCATAACATAGGGATATTTAATACATTATAAATACATGAATATATTTTATCACTTACATTGGAGTATTGAATACAGCATAAATGTATTTATCGGAGCCATCGTCAAGAAGAAATGTTGCCTGTAGTTCATCGTAATAGAACGGATATTCTCCAGGAAGAGAACAATTTAATCGTGACTTGAAGAAAGTTGTCCATGTATTATCAAACATTCCTCCTTCGTCATTCTTACACAGCCTCGCCACTCTTGAATACATCCGCTGAAATTTTACACAAATATCATATTTGTTATTTAGATTTTTGACAGGTTATATGGCCCTATATAAATGGTTGTTTTCATAATCATATAACCCTAGCCGCTAGACATTTAACATTTGACCGGATCATTTTTTAACTCAAAGCAGAACACAATTTCAGTAAATTAAGGGTTAAGTTCAAAATCATTCAGAAAGCTGTGGCCAATTGGTTAAGATGTCTGCCTGTTATCCAAGGAATTGAGAGTTTAAGCTTCACTGTGTCTATAACCATGTTTGGCACCAGTACTGGTTAGTCCAAGGAAGTGTAGATGAAATGACTAAAAGCTTTCTTTATAAACATGCTTAAATTAATGTTCAAAATCTTAAACTGTAGTATAGCATTCAGTATTTTAATGCACTGAAATTAATGCAAGAATGGGAACAGGTCCCTCCCTCTACTCGTCACTACGGAAAGTTGAGAATTGTTCCGAACAAAATCAGTTTGACTTAAAAACCTAGCTAAATGATAAAAATAAATAACTGATTTAAGCATCAAATTATAAAGCTTTTTTGATTATTATTGAAATGAGACATGCCTAAGCTGCCAGCCAATGATGGCAAAATAAAACTCACTTTTCCACAGTTAATGTATTCTACAGCAACTTCCCGGAAGAAGAAGTACACAAGATCTCCTATTTCATATGAAGACACAAAATCTGGCTCTGAAATCAATGAAGGTAAATCTTATGATAAATATACGGTAAGTTTGAATGATTCTCAAAATGATGTAACTACTGATAATATTATAAAAGACTTTTACATTACTATCTCTATATCTGGCCTTGTTGTTGCTTTATCATAAATATATATAATGCTCCTTTACATTAAAAGCCCAAAACTAAATAATATGCCCCAAAGGGCAAAAAAATGCATACATTCTTCTGAAGTAAAAAAAAAACATTTTTTTTAGAGAATATTATCCCAAGGAATAACATTTTATCAATAATGACCAAATATCAATGGTTTGATCAAACATTTTCATAACTCCATGATTTCTGAGAGACAAAGTTATCACAATGTCAACATGAACTTTCTCTATATTTAACTGTAGATGTAATTCCTACATGATTCATGCAATAACGAAAGCAATCAAATTTTCTAGACGTTTGAAAAATAGTGAATATTAAATCTCAAGAAAACAAAAAAGAAAACATTTTCCTGATAAAATAGGTGTAATCTTAAAACATCATAGCACAGGAATTATTTATGTTTATCACACACCCGTGCCGATTTTGCGACTCCGTAAATATGGTATTGCACGGCCGTGCATATATTTTGACGTGACGTCATTAGCGTTATACAAACATACTGTAAAGACGCGCTAAATGTTGGCGTTATACTATAGGCGCGTCAATGAAAAATGACTCTTATTTCACTTTAAACTGTATTTATTTTTGGTATGTGATAAATAGAATATTAAATTCGTGTAAGTTCATTTCTGAATTTATTGCACTCGTATAAAATAATATTATGCTCGCCAAAGGCTCGCATTTTATTCAACTCGTGCAATAAATTCAGTATTGAACTTACACTCATTCAATATCCTCTATTTATGACATTTTCATTCCTTGTCTTTGATATACATTACCATTTAGCCATTTTGAATTTGCCTGAGCAGTTCTCAACTCATTTGAATCAGATCCTTTGCTTCTATAAATAGCAGGGTCCCTGTTTCCGGTCCCGATATGTGTGGCCCCATAAATATCCCCCTCTGTTGTGATAATTGTTGTAGAATTCTGTCCGGGGTCATTCGGGCTCACACCAACTCCTATACTAGTTTCAATGATCTTCGTTAAATTGTTTGCCTGAAATTATCGTGAAAACAGTGAAATACCATGACTTAAAGTTTGATCACACAAACTTAGGTCATAAGCTGAAATTGGAAATAGTATTATGTAAAATCTAATACAAATTTTCACCCGAGTGCAGTAACAGGTTAAACCCTTCTAAATAAAAGGAGTTAAATAGTTATTGCACGAAGGTGAGAAGTCATGCAGTATGTTTTTTCTCGGAAGTCTGAACTCATTTCAGGACTACTGTTCTAAATGAGGTATTAGTTAATATTGTATAGAAATCTCACAGGTACTGTTCTAAATGAGGTATTAGTTAATATTGTATAGAAATCTCACAATTTGGTTACTTATATACGTTGTGGTCTGGCCTCAATTGTTTTTTTATACTTCTTTGTTGAAAAAAACCCTGAACAAACTTGATGTAAGTTGATGTACAGTTTAACTCTCAGCCTTGAGTAAAACTTTATCAAAACAAAAGCCTGTAGAATTATTATATCTCTATATATGTTTGATACAAAAAGGTTAAATACAGTAATGGATGAAATGTATAATTGTATATAGACTTACTGGTCTCCATTGACAGATGGGTGAGAAAGCATTGGTCCCACAAACAAATACAGCATTGTCAAACTTGGCTGCCGCATCTGCTGCTTTCGTGTAATTGTGCAGCAGAAGAACTCGTATATAGTTATGACACGATTCCTGAAATTGTAAAGTTTTTTATATACACTTACAGGGCCTAAGAGGTCCAGGGATTTATGTCACCGACTTCAAGTTACATGACCCTCACCACTGACTTTGGATACGGACATGAGGTATATATCCAGTCAGCTTAAGGTAGGTTGGTGGTTAACTCAAGTGGGTGTAATATGTCCTTAAAGGTTATCCTATGCCAAAAGGTGACATATAAATTTTTAATTAAGCAATTCACTCAATGATACTAAATATGTATGCAAGTCAATTTTTGTGTGGTTTACTATTTTGATACACTGAAGGCTATTACAGGCATCATGGATAAAAATAAGAAGTTGCTGCCTAAAATAAAGGACCATATCTTTGGTTAACTAAAGAGCTGACTTGAGCCGTAAATAATATGAAGGGGCATTTGTGGTCCGATACTATAGTAGGAATGAAAAGTCACCATGATTATGACAATATTGGTGTGACTTAAAATTTTAACCTATGAACCTTCCTACAAGTGCATGAATGGCTTAACATGATTTTCTTGGAGTCTGAATGACTCCGGACATAAACTCTTACAATATATTGACATGAAAGTATAGACATGTAAGTATTTAAGTAATCAGGTTAAAAAAATACCTCAGACTCTCCTTTGTCCATACATGAACTAAATTCTTTCGATTTAAATTCTGCATGTTCAATAAGGTCTAGGTTATCCAGTGATAGACGGAATATACTGTTCCGTGCCCCCACCAGCAGCTGGTCATTTCCCTCATCTACTGTGAGCAGTGTAAACCCAACTAAATCCTCATGGTTAAATATTGGAGCTTCCTCAATCAGTTCTGAAATAAACAATAATTTCAAGAAATGTAACTCTTGCATACTTTTACATCAAAGATGTAGGAGTTGTTTCCCTTATATCAAAATTTGATCAATTTTTCCTACAGAATGTTACGTGCATTCTTTTCAAGTTTCTTATATAATCTTAAAATATTACAGATTTAGAACACTGATTTCTTGCAGGATCCTACAGAAATGACAAGGAAGTTTGATGCTTTCAACTTAAAAAAAAAATAAAAAAACCATCTGTCCATTCATGATTTTGTTTTGTGGACTTACTAGTATTGTTGCCCAAGTTCTATAAGTTGACAGATAAGACACCTCAATAAATAACCCCTGGTGTTAATCATTTTATAAGAGTTTTGCAAAAATATAGATTTAAATGAAACGTTGTTTACTTTACACCTCAATTATAATGTACCATAAATCATTCACAAGAAAGATTTCTCCAAGATAAACAAGAGTATTCTCAGTGCTTGATAGTGAACAAGAACAAGGATAATGTGGAATTTTTTAATTTCAAAAAGGGCAATAATTCTTTCAAAATCCATGTTAGAGTTATGGGCCTTGGACAATGACCTCTCAAAGAAGTGGTGGCAAGGCTGAGTGGTAACCATAACAGACTATTAATCTAAGAATTGTTATCAGTGTGGATTCAAACCCTGTCAGGGGCATGCTTTTGTTTCCTAGAGCACGAAACTTCTTGTTAGTTCCAGGAACAGATTTGAGAGTGAGTCTATAAGCTATAAGCTTCTTACACAATCAAACTAAAATAAATTCTATATAAAGCAAATAAGTGTGTGAAACTTCTAACTAAGACCTATTCCCTTCAGCAGTTTTGGAGATAACAACTGCCATGCAAAAACTAAACCAAAGTGGGATGCTGACTGAGTACAATAGCTCTCCCTTTACGTTGAATAGTTGAGTTAAAAACAGTAACAATAGTCCCCCTTTATCCCCCTGTATCTATGTTGTTATGTTAGTATACAAATAAATATTGCAATAGATCTTTTTGGTGTTCATTTTCTTCTAAATTGCAAAATGTAAAAAAAGACTGCACAACTGAAACCTCCAACACAAAACTATCTTTTACATTCGCCCATTTCTACAAGAGAGCAAAACTTCTAAATTTGAGCGAACATTATTCTGCAAAAAAAGGCAGTTTCAATATTCAAAGATTGATTGATCTTTCAATATACAAATACACATGTATATAGTTGATATGTGTCCTATTTAATAGCATAAACAAATTTCTTTTGAAATTGGGAAAACTATATTTTATAAGTACATTTTTAAAGTGTACGTCAAGACTGCTTTATGAACTAGACAGAGTTAATCTGCATTTTCTGCTTTTGATGTTCAAATATTTGGTCAGGTAAATATACATTCAATTTACTTATATTTTTCACCATTATGTTGAACCAATGTTGCTTATAAGTTTAAATAATGAACATCAAAATCTGTCATTCTATGCTGCAGACATAATTATCAGTACGACCCTGCGATATTGTATAAATTATTTATACCTGCACAGCTTGAGACAGGCCCTTTAAATACATTTAACGTGTTTTGTATACATAAAATCGTTTAACGCTTAGGCCTATTCAGTTAAATAAGTATTAATAAAGCTTCCGCAAATAAAACTCCAGATTTAATAAAGAATCCTTTAAAATTCTGAATGAACTACTTACGTGTGAAATACATGGTAATATTTGATCGGCTAAAAGTCTTAAAATTAATTCTATTTGCCTTAGCTTGTTAACTGTTATATCCGTACATGTAAACAAATAATTCTGTATTGAATCAAACTTAAATGCTGTTTTAAGATGTAAAAGCTGTTTTAAGACATAAAAGACCAGACTTATCATAGCCTGGGAGAACAAATATAACATTGTTAATCAATTAGCTCTGGTATAGGGACCAAGAAATGTTTGTACACGTTAACTGCTGCCCTCTTTATAAAATGTCAAGGGCAATAACTCTCTTATAATTAAATATAAAAGACATTTCTATATGGACCAGGGAGGCCATTGGCACAAGACAGCAAATATTCGTAAAGGTACACTGACAAAAAAACAACAACAACAACAAAAACACAACAGTTCAAACGTTTGATTAATCTAATGATTTAACAAATATAAAACTACCAGGTGGCCATGCCCTGAACACAAAAAAAATTTTTTATCTTCCCTTAAGGGAGATTTTTTTAACTATCTGATCATCTTCACAAAACTTTTATTTATTGAGCATTGAATGCAATACTGTTGTATCTTATACAACTAGTTAGTTAATTAATTAATTAATTAAGTTACAACAGAATTATACTTAAAGTTATAACTTATTGAGTTATGGCCCTTAGACATGAAGCACTTTGATTTGGTATTAGAGATTAATATTGTAGGTAGATGTTTTTGAAAATGAAATAAAACATTATTTTCATGACTTTTTTAAATATTTTCTATAAATTTTCAATCACTTCATAGCCTTAGTAATATTTCTGCTGATTCATAAGTAACATTACTTCAAAGCAAAAACAAGACTATTATCTAAATGATAATAATATACAAATAGTAAAAATGGGGATTTTTTTTATATCTTTTTAATGACTATTATTATTTAAATATGATAGAAATGATATCAAAAGAAACAGGTTTTAAATATTAAGACATAAAATGCTGTAGGTTAACTTTTGTATATTATATTTATGGGTTGTGTCAAGCAGAAACAACATTAAAAACATGAACTATATCCATCTACACTTTTATTTATCTATTTATTCACTTATTTTATGAAATCTGTTGTAAAATAATTTGTAATTAGATAATAAATCTTCTTTCATTTAAAGCCTTAACTATTTACCTTATTTTGCCATACTTTGAATTTTAAACAGTTCAAATTTCAGTATCAAAAAATATAGTAGTAAATTGAGCTACCAAAGTATCAACTCTATACTGGTGGGCATAGGCTTATCATTTGTTACCTAAGGTAATAAAGATAGGTTTTTTTGGTAACTCTGGTGAATACCCTGAACTACACCCCCCATGTTAGGTAACTGTGGGGAATACCCAACTAAGTCCACACTCCATCCCCTACAAAGTTGGGAACTTTGGTGAATAGCAAGTTCAGCCAACCCCTTTATGTTGGGTAACTCTACCTTTCACCCCACAATGTTAGGTAACTCTTGTGAATACCCCCTAAACCCCACAATGTTGGGTAACTCTGGTGAATACCCCCCTAGACCCCACAATGTTGGGTAACTCTTGTGAATACCCCCTAGACCCCACAATGTTAGGTAACTCTTGTGAATACCCCCCTAAACCCCACAATGTTGGGTAACTCTTGTGAATACCCCCCTAGACCCCACAATGTTAGGTAACTCTGGTGAATAACCCCTTCACCCCACAATATTAGGTAACATTGGTAAATGCAACCCCCCTTCACCCCACAATGTTAGGTAACTCTGGTGAATACCCCCTAGACCCCACAATGTAAGGTAACATTTGTAAATGCAACACCCCCCCCCCTTTACCCCACAATGTTAGCTAACTCAGGTGAATACCCCCTAGACCTCACAATGTTAATGTTAGGTAACATTGGTAATGCAACCCCCCCCCCCCCCCCCGCCCGCATTGTTGGATAACCGGTGAATACCCCCCCCTACATGCCAAAATGTTGTTAAAAACATAACTTATCATCAAAACTATGAGAAAAAGGTATGAAAATCTATAGTTCAGTCATTGACCTTGACCTTCTCGACCTGAAAACCACTCATTCATACCTAGACCTTCAATTAACAAAATGTGCCACCTGCAGTTTTTGCCTGAAATAAATGCAAGCCCTTTTGGAAAATTGTGTAATGACCTTGACAGTTAGTGTATCTTCAGTCAACTTGCCTTCTAATCCAAAACTAAATTATATAAACAAGCATTATTCACTTCTACATTAAATTATCTCTTAAGAAAAATACATGTGCCAGGTACTAGTTATATTTGAAATCACAAATTTTGCCATTAAAATCATAAACTTATAATTTATGGATAAAAATTCTGGTAAAATCTGCAAAACTTTATTAAAAATATATTCTTAAATGTTTTGCTAAATTTTACATATGGGGTTTTCTGCTATTTTTATTAATGAAATAGTTCTATGCTAGAATGGTATTGAATTAACTTATGATTCCCCTTTTATAATATCTACATCTCTTTAGTAATAAGGGAAATTTCTATTAATGTAAATAACAATTTAGTAATCATCATATTTCACATTTTCAACTTCAAAAGCACGAAATCAGTTCCCCTATTTACCATAAATTATAATCATCTAATAGATTAAATATCCATTTATTTCACCAGACATATCACTTCCCAACCCATTTCTTAACTGTAAAAAAGTGCAAGCTATTTCTCTATTTTACTTTGATATGTGAGAAAATAAACAGTGAATTTGTTTAAATGATAATAATGTTCATTTAAACACACTTGTCAATGAGTCAGATGACAGCGTGGACATTAAAGAGACATTTACATGGTGATCGATGGGGTTTAAAATCTACCAGAAATGAAACATTTTATTTTGATACTCAATTATTTTTACATTTAATGTCTTCATCTGATATATTGGTACAAAAAAAGCAACATTGAAAGTTACTACAATAGCCTGGCATGTATAATTTACCTCCACATTTTTCAACAAAAAAGGCGAGCAGAGCACATCGTTTAGTTGTACACCTGGTCTCATGAAATTTGTGTCATTAAATATCAATAAAGAAAGGAAAATATCCCAAAAAATCAGAGCAATAGGTGTGATAGGTTATTGAATCTTAAACCTCCTGAATTTGTGTAATGGATTTGTCCAACATTAGATTTGGAAAAGTCTATTGAAAGTTTAAGGGATTTCAAAACCAAGATACAAAAATTGAGAGCTTCAACAGGAAAGAGTCTAATATTAAAAAGGATAATTATTAAGGTTTTTATCTATAAATATAGTACAGGATTTATTTTGA